GGTGGGTGGAAATTAGCCAAGACTCACGATGAGATCCATCATACAGGAAAGCAGTTGTATGAACAGAAGAAGTGTGAATATGTTGATATCCCGATTGTCAAAAGTAAGAGAGTTAACATCATTAATGAGTATGATGAAAATGAATTGGTTGAACTTGTTGAGAAACATAGGTGCATCATGATCAAAGCCAGATTCGCAGGAGCGGGGAAGTCCACCATCTGCAAAAACATGGAGAGACTCAAGGGTTATAAAGTGTTGTTCGTGGTTCCTACCAATAATCTGGGTTTGGAGTGCGAAGTGGAAAGCATCACTGTAAATAAATTCTTCAGTATAGCAGTCAATGACGAGAAGCTAGATAAATACGATCATTCGATGTTTGATGTCATTGTGTTTGATGAGATTTGTTTTAATAATACCTTTGTATTGGCAAAAATCAAGGGCTTTGTAGAGCAACATATGGCTAACAAAATCATATTAGCTACTGGCGACGCCAAGCAATTGAGCCCCATAAAAGCACTGACTAACACTAAGAAACACGAGATTTATATGAATGAATGTATTGATAGCATTTTTCCCCATCATTTGTTTTTGGAAGAGTGCAAGCGATTGAAGACTCAGGAGGACAAGGATAAACTTAAAAGTATTTATGCCGACATCTTTGAGCATGAGTTGTCTCTACATGATGTCATCAATAAGTATTTTAAATATACTGATGACATCGCAGGAACAGAAAGCAATGTCGCATATTTAAATAACACTTGTAGAGAGGTTTCAAGGCAGATCAGGAAACGACAGGGCAAACAAAATGAGTTTGAAGTCGGCGAGATCATGATATGCAGAGAGTATAAGAAAACAAAAACCTATAAGTTAAATGTGAATTTTAGGTATGAGATAATTAATATTTCCGATCCTTGGATTACCATTGCTAATATCAAAACACGAGAAGAGATTACATTACATATTGGTATCTTGAGAAGTCATTTTATCTTTGCCTTCTGTTATACTTGTCATTCTGTTCAGGGGTGTTCCATTGATGACGATGTCGTGATATTTGATTGGAACCATCATCTGATAACTCGCGAGTGGCTTTGGACGGGAATCACACGAGCAAGGGATTTAAACAGAGTAAAATTTTACAAATACAGTAGTGATTTAAATGAAGAGTTTAACGCAAAATGCATTATGAATTATTTTGATAGAAAGGTGTTAGCATACAAGGAACAGGATAGGAAAAACAAATTTGAGATCCCAAAAGAAAATTATGTAGATACCGAATGGTTGAAGGACAACGTCAATGGAAAGTGTGCCAACTGTGGCTGTGGTTTCGTGTTGTCCATGGATTCTGGTAATATAAATTCTAATCTGACTTGTCAAAGGTTATGTAATGATCTCCCCCATACAAAGGATAATGTCATTGCCTTCTGTGCTTCTTGTAATAGGTGCTTCAGTGATAAAATAACATATTGATAAATATGTTGTTCATATCAGATTTAAAGAATGATTATTTTAGGTATATAGAGGTATGAACCGGTATGAAAAAGGGAAAATTTACAAAATAGTAAGTCCTGATTTTGAAAAGTGCTACATTGGGTCTACGACCGAGCCATTAAGCAAAAGAATGGAAAGGCACAGGAAACTCTACAAGACATATTTGGAAACTGGCAATGTTGATACAAGAGTGCGATTAATATTTGATGAATACGGAATCGAAAATTGTAAAATACTTCTTATTCAGAATTACCCCTGTGAAAGTAAGGAAGAACTTTTAAGGAAAGAAGGAGAATACATACAAGCAATGCAATGCGTCAATAAATGTGTTGCAGGAAGGACGCCTGCTGAGTATAAAGAACTATACAAAGATTATTTCAAGCAGAAACGACAAGAATACTATGACAAGAACAAAGAATACATCCTGAACAGAAATTCTGAATACAAACAACAGCACAAGGAACAAATTGACCAGAGAAGACATGAATACTATGAACAAAACAAACAACAAATTAATGAAAAGAACAAACAATACTACAACAACAACTTTGACAAAATCAAACAACAAAAAGCGAAATACGCCGACAATAACAAGGAATATTTGGCTGAAAAAAGAAAAGAATGGTGCAACGCAAATAGGGGGTATGTCAAACAAAGAAGTGATAAATATTATCAAGAGAAGCAAGATAGTATATGCGCCAAGAAAAAAGAAAAGGTTGAATGCGAATGCGGCGCCATGGTTAGAATTCACGAAATCAAAAGGCACCAACGAACAAACAAACACCAATATTGTTTGCAACAAAAACAATAATATCCTGTTTATATATATATATGTCTAAACAAGATATTATTAGCGAAGTTTATTATGATCGTGCTGGTTTTGGCTCTTTAAAAACAACTCTTGCAGACGCCAAAAAGAAAGATGCATCCATAACAATGCAAGATGTCAAGGAGTGGTTTCAAGAGAACGTGGAACGGAAAAAACAACTGTCTGGATACAATTCGTTTATTGCCCCTGATATCAACTTTGAATATCAATTGGATTTGTTTTTTATATCAAAAAATGATTTAGATAATCAAAAATATAGGATAGGCTTATTGCTTATTGATGTATTTTCCCGCAAAGCAGTGGTGGTGCCTATTGCATCCAAGCAACCTGCTGACATCACGGCTGGGATCATGGAGGCATTAAACAAAATTGGAGGGAAACCCAAATTAATTTATTCGGATGACGAGGGAAGCCTGAACACCCAAGATCTTGTTGATTTTTTCAAGGACGAAGGGATCCAAAACTATAAAACACGAGGGCACCCCCATTTTGCCGAGCGTTTCATTCGCACGTTCAAGGACATGCTTTTCAAGAGGGTTGATGCAGACGAGAAAAAGGGAAAGGTTAATATACAATGGGTTGATTATATCCCCGAGATCATGCTGACATACAACAGTAAAATGGTTCATTCTGCCCACGATATGACTCCAAACGATGCCCACAAAAAGGGAAACCATCTTGAGGTCAAGATGAAGCTTGAGATGAACAGAATCAAAACCCGTAAATATCCCCCTGTTAGGGTTGGCGATGAGGTCAAAATATACCGCAAAAAAGGGATTTCCGAGAAAGAAAGAACGAGTTCATGGTCAGCAAACAAGTTCACAATTGAAAGGATTGAGCGAAAACTTGGACAAGACTATTATTATGTCCAAGGTGCGACTCGTGCTTATTTGAGATCGGAAATTCTGAAGGTTTGAAGGCGACGTTTTCGCAATGTGTTTTCCTCAATGTGATTTTCGCAAAGGGGTATGTGGTTTCCACAATGTGGTTTTCGCAAAGGGGGTATGTGTGTTTGACACATAGGGCATGTGTGGTTGACACATAGGGCATGTGTGGTTGACACATAGGGCATGTGTGTTTGACACATAGGGCATGTGTGGTTGACACATAGGGCATGTGTGGTTGACACATAGGGCATGTGTGTTTGACACATAGGGCATGTGTGTTTGACACATAGGGCATGTGTGGTTGACACATAGGGCATGTGTGTTTGACACATAGGGGTATGTGTGTTTGACACATAGGGGTATGTGTGTTTGACACATAGGGGTATGTGTGTTTGACACATAGGGGTATGTGTGTTTGACACATAGGGGTGTGTGTTTGACACATAGGGCAACGTGAGTGATGAGCCCCTACCTAGGCCTTTCCCATCCGCATTTTGCCATCCATATTTTACTGGGATTGTTTTCAAGATTTGGGTTAACGGTTTTAATTCTCCCTTTTCCATTGGTTAACCATTTTTCGGGGAGTGATAATTTATGTAGTATGGCGGTGGGAGAGCTTAGAAAATACGCAGTTAGAAGACACTTAAAGACATGATGGTAAATAGTAGTATGGAAAACTTACAGAGATGCAGTAGGTGCAGAAAACAGAAAGAACTAGGAGAGTTCAAGGATGGGAGAAAAGTATGTAATTATTGCCTTTCTACTGCTAAGACTTATCAACAAAATAATCCCGAGAAAATGGCGGAGAAATGTCATAAGTATTATGTCAATCATAGGGACGAGATTTTAGAACAGAAGAGAGAAAAACGACTTTGTGATCTTTGCAAAGTAGAAGTAGCTAAATCAGAATGGACGAAGCATTTAATCACTAGTCGGCACAAACGATATCAAATGATAGAAGCCGGGGAGAAGTTGGAAGCCGATCGTGGCGATTCGTGGTGGTGCGATGTCTGTCAAGTATTTTTAGCAAAGAAAACATCCAAGTGTAGCCATAATGGCTCGAAAAGGCATTGTGAATTAGCAAAGCTACAAGGAGTTGAGGAGTAAATGGGTTGATACATTTGTTTTGCGATGATTGTATCAATGCATTTGGGATATTTATTGGTTTAATGGGTGGGATTTTGCGCAGTATGGCGGGTGGAGTGGGGACAAAATGCGCAGTATGGCGACGGGAGAGCACATGTCTAACTCTTTGACCCCCTTTTCCAGCCCCTGAAGTCATGAGAGCATCGGCTCGTGAAGGTCGACTTTCTGTGTACGGCCCAAGTTTGGCGCTCAGCGGCGCCTTGTCTGCGGAGTGAGGCTTGGCTGATCACTGGCTTTCGGTTCGTCCAACCTTTCGGCTTGCCACTCGTCGTCGATTTGGTTGCGGTTCCAAACGGCAATTCGCAGTTTCCTTGTGTTGGTTTCCTTCAAATGTTAGTTGTTCTTAATGATTTTGAGCATGGACCAGCTTTTTTTTTAAATGTCTTAAGGTTGACTAACTACCTAGACTCTCCATGACCCTTCAAAAATGGGGTCATTGCCCAAAAGAAAGGGGTCATGGACCCATCTTTAAAGGGGTCACGGAGACTCTAGGTATGAACAAGATGCAGTGGATTCAAATAAAATATAATTTATGATGACCTAAATTATGTTCTTAACCAAGGACCAGCTTTTTTAACGTCTTAAGGTTGACAAAATATGAACGCGAGTCTTCATTACAGCACGTGTTTCGCAGTAAGAGTCGGCAGGAGCCCAGTGACACCAAGGGCCGCGGCCGGGGGCACATCGGCCCAGGTGCCCAGCTAGGTTCAAATCCGATTCGGGTAACTTCCATTTGATATTTGCTTAAGAATATGCTTTGGTTTCCCTTGTGGGTTTCAAAAGGAAATTTATGACTACTGGACATCAATTTTCATAGCTGAATGGGATGCGCCAAGAAGGAAGACCAAAGGATGCACAGGCATGAGAGCGCTGCACCCCGGGGAACTGTCCGCAAATCGAGTTACTGTAACCGAATGTCAAGGGACTATTCCAACAACAGGAAGGGCCCCCCTAGGAGTCTTCTGGTTTTGGGTAGGCCATGTTAAAATCCAGGTGTGGGTTTCTGACTCAAGCGGTTCCCTGCTTTCTCTGGTGGAAGGGGTTTCCGCTCAAACTCAACGACTGGAATGTTCGGCCAAGTTAGTGTCTGTGGTTAGCCACTTGGGTTGGCAACACCCCCTTATAGCCGCCTCAACATTTAAATGGGCCGCATTCGAGACCCCTGCTTGGATGCTCGATTCGCCATGGAAAGTTTGTTGGCCACTTGGGTTGGCACACCCCCTATTAAGAGGACTTCTACGTGGGTTATAACCTAGGTTACCGACAACGTGCGAACTTGGCTGAACACCCACCACAGCCCCCTTTTTTCCCAATGCCGCTGGGCCCGAGTCAGATCTCGGAGAGTTGCTCAAGGTTGGCGTTCTTTGCATGTGGGTCTTAGGTGGTTAGTTGCATGTTGATGTTTCAGCATCGCCTCCCTTACCCAAAGAACAAAAACCCGTGGTCTCCGTGAATCGAAAAAAACTTGCGGGAGCTGGTTGGGCAAAAAACAATTATTGTGGAGCGATTGTCCTCTGCACTCCAGCCCGTCACTTTACGTCCCTGCTGGAATGACTTAGTGTTGGCAGGCGCCAAGAACATGTAGCACCAGAGGGGATGTGGCAATCTTGCGGTGCGGTGAGGCTGCAAAAAACTTGAGTTGCACAAAGGATGCAGCCCAAAGGTGTGGGCGCAAAGATGCGAGTTTGCACATGTCCTGTCAGCTTGAAACGTAGAAGGCACCAGGACATGGGTACTCCTGACTTCAGCTGGCGTCTATGAAGACACAGCGGTTGGTGGGGACATTGGGATGAGCACTGGGATGATGTCTTTCAATTTCTGCACAAACCCCATCCGCAAATCTGAGGTCGGGCACCATGCGACCGGTTCTTGCTCTTAATATGAAGGCGTGCCTGGACCTGAACCCTCAAAACTACAACTGAACATCCGTCGCAACTTGCAACCCACAAATTTGTGCGTTCCCTTGAAAATGGGCTATTGCAACCAACAATATGGGCTGAGTTCCCTTGGTTTTGGGTAGTTGGAGGGTCCGGGCAAGTCCCAAAACCTCCGAGGGGTCGCGGCGCGGCTGCGGTGCCGCCTGCGCGCGGCAGGGGCGCCAAGTTGAACCGGGCCGCGAGGTGCGCGGGGGTCTCGGAGTTCATGGGTTCAAATTTGGACACCAAGCGGCGTTTCTCCACATGTCTCACTTCGTGAGTTCGGAGATCGATTTGTTTTGGGAAGTTCCTGGACTGGAAACTTTTTGGGAAGTCCAGTGTCAAGCTGAAAAGGTTTGGGCTTTTTGGGACCACGTGAGAAATAGGGGTCCCCCGAAAAAAAGTGTCTCACTTCCTGTTCGTCACTTTTTTGGTCGGACCATTTTAGTGGCACACAAAACGTACTTTTTTTGGACCGTCAACTCAGGAAGTGAGAAACCGAGGTTTCTTCGAACATGCGTGCGATTTCTTTTGGTCCATACCTAGAGTCTCCATGACCCCTCGAAAATGGGGTCATGACCCCTTAATTTTAGGCAATGACCCCATTTTTCTACTGGTTTTGGAGAGTCTAGGTATCAATCACTGTTCGATGTTTTACCTTTTTTTTGTTCATACCAACCAAACGGTGGCATTGCCACCATTTTGAGAAACGCGAACAGAGTGGAGAACCCCATCGTGTTCACTTTTCTCATCTTCCCAGTTTCTGGACTTTGGCTACTGTTTTGGTGCGGACCGTTTTGCAAGGAAGACTTCAGACTTTTTGTCGGCCAACCCACCCAGAGGAGGACCATGGCAAGCATGTGCAAGGGTTACGGCAAAGATACAATCTCGGAACTGGGCGAATGAAACGGGGACATGGGATAAGCCCAAGACGAATTCCCAACTGCGTGTTTCTTTGGCCAGCACCGTCACCTTTACTGGCCAAAAAAGGAGTTGTGCCATCCATGGTACCCGCCTTTCCAAGAGTCATGGAAGTAGGCGTGAGGCTTCCGAAAGAGCAAAGTAGTCCTACTGCGGATGGACAAAACCCATTTCGCACCACTTTGAAGCCAGGGGAAACCAATGTTTGTTGGTATTTACAGGGGAATCAAAACATTTCAGGGTTTGCTAGGTGGTGCAGGATGTCATCCATCCACAGCACCAAAGCTTCCTGTCAACTTCCATGATTGTTCCTCAGTTTCTGGCCGTTGATGTGTTGCAAACAATTATAGTGGCACACCATAAACTTAGGCTTTTCTAGCCACTCCTCTCCAAAATGGAGTGAAACGATCTGCCAAAGCCCCGTTGCCCCAAGCCGGCCTTGTTGCCCTTTTGGTTTCGCCTTCTTGGCTTCTCTTTTTGGCCCATGTGTCACCCCATTTGTTCAGCTTCCATTTTGCAGGTGGCCAGTGAGCGTTTCTTCCCTCGTGTTTTGTCGTCTTCAAAGCTCCTTCTGGGGGGTCCTTGCTGAACACCTTGCCCAAATTTCGAGCCAACACAAAACCCAACAGCAACAACGCTTTATTTCGGGGAACAAAGGATATTGTCCACTCATAATATGGGTGTGGCTCAAATTTTATTAGCCAGAGTTACGCAGGTGTTGGTCTTTGTGTCCATTTACTAGAGGCCATTTTGGGTACACTTTTTGAGCTATAGCCATATGAAGTTCATTCAAAGGGACCGGTGTATCCTGTGATTCATTTGGGACCTGGTGTATCTCGCTAAGCTTCCAGTACAAGCCAGGGTGCCCTCTTGGTGGCTCCCAGCAATCCGGTTCCTTAGCTCTTTAGCTTTTTAGGGTTGTCCAGTAAACCCACTAAAACAAAAATCGTTTAGCAGGGGGATCTGAGGGCAGCCCAGCGTCCTCTTGGGGAAACACGTCATTTTGGGCGTGCCTCTGGCAACGCGTCGGCTGTTCAACGCCGAAGCGACCTGTAAAGGATGGCAGGATCCAACCCCTCCCTTTCCCAGCCCCCGCCATCCCCTTAGTGTCCTCCTGTATTGGGACGGCCTTGTAGTGGTCTGATTTTGGGGAACAGGAAGTCAACAAAAAGTGGAACCATATGAGAGGATGGAGGGAGCTTGAACAGCTTGAGCCGCTTGTTTGGTTCTTCGTGACACATACCCAGCGATCATGACACATTCCCGGGCTCTTCGCACGCATGTCGCCCTCCCAGAGGCTCCCGATTCGATGTATTGAAGGGCCCTCAAACCGCCGTTGGTTTTGAGGCCGGGTCCCAACCGATTCCGAATCGGGGTGTCAGATGGAGGGCGAGGGGATCTTCCATAAGCCGTTTGGCCGATCGGAGCCTCTGGGTTGACCAAAAAAAGAGCCGCCCTCGCCTTCGTGGCGATCGGCGTGAATAGGTACACCGAACAGCTTGCAAGACAAGTATATAGACTTTTGTCAGGAAGGGGCGTGGATGGCCGTGAAAGGACATTTGCTTTTTTTTTTTTTGTGTGGAGAGGCCCTAGTCTTTCATTTGCTGAAGAGGTGTTGTTTTCTCCTGTTGGCTGTAAAGAAAATCTATCACTGGACATACTTTCTCATGTCTACCTAGACTCTCCATGACCCTTAAAAATGGGGTCATTGCCTAAAATTAAGGGGTCATGACCTCATTTTCTAGGGGTCATGGAGACTCTAGGTATCCAGAAAACTTTGATAAGTTCTGTGGAAATGCGGGGATAGAATCTTGTTCCCATAGTGGGCCTTGCCTATACGTGGGGATTCCATCAAATTGATTATACATGTTCCATGTGTTTCCCTAGTTTTTTCCTAGAATGCGTGGGGAGTTTCCATCAGATTGGTTAAATATGTTCTATGATTTTCCATTATTTTCCCCAACACATGTGGGGGTGTCCATCAAATTGATGTTTGTCCTGTTGTTTCTTAGGTGTCTATATAAAGATAATATACCTGGAGTCTCTATGACCCGTGAACAGTGGGGTCATTACCCAAAAGAAAGATTCGGGTCAAATGGGCCCACTTTTAAAGGGTCATGGAGAGTCTAGGGATATGGCTGTGGCTCAAATTTTAAGAGCCAGAGTTACGCAGGTGTTGGTCTTTGTGTCCATTTACCTAGGGCCGTTTTGGGTACATCTCTTTGAGCCACAGCCATATATTCACGTTCCTTTTGCGTCTTAGGGCACCCATCGGAATCCGCGCTGCCGGGTCGGCTGCCGGGTCGTCTGCCGGGGTTGAGGCCGTGGAGCCCGCTCCCTCGGTGACGGTGCGCCTGAGGCGCGCGAGTTGGCGCGCTCGCGAGGGGTGCGCACGAGGGGGGGAGGTGGGGGTGGGGGGTGTGAGTGGGGAGGGGTGGGAGGGAGTGGGGGGTGGGGGGTGCGAGTGGGGGGGGTGGGGGTGGGGCGTGGGGTGATGCTTGCTGGTGTTAGCTGGCATAGCTGGTGTTAGGTTGTGTGGGGCTCGTCTTTGGAGAGTTTGCTTGAAAAGCGTCAAAGAAGCATACGGAAATAACGACCAAATCCTTATTTCGCGGAAAAAACAAAACCGCTCGCGTGAGGGGCCCTTGGAGGGTAGCCCGTTCCGATCGTTCCGGCACTCGCTGGGTTCGCGGACGTGGCAGTTGTCCTGCTCAGAAGGCGAGAGGGGCCGCATGTGGGTGGTTCGTCTTTTTTCAAGGGGTTTATTCCCACTTCTGTGATGGAATTTCCCCCTTTATATGGGATTCCTGGACCAACCAAGGGCACTTTTTTTGCGACTCTCTGCAAAAATCCGTGCATTTCCTTGAAATCCATACATTTGAGCAAAAACAGTACTTTTCTTGCAGGCTCAACATAAGACACAGGAGCATTTTGCTACCTTTTTTCTACAAGAATCTCACTTTCAGCTCCGGCCATGGCACTAGAGATTGTCATGCTCATACCATTTGAAGGTGTGCAATTCACCAAGGACAAAAGGTGCCCATTTCCTCAAGAAAATGTTCCGCTGATTTCCGTACTTTTCCCTCAGATTTCCGTACTTTTCCCGCCGATTTCCGTGCATTTCCCGCCGATTTCCGTGCATTTGCGGTTTCTGCATTTTGGCTGAGAAAACTGCAAACTCGCAAAAGCGGCAAGGAAGCTGTCACACATTGCCCCACAGCAATTGGAGACGAAAGACCTGAAACGGAATTAAGTATGACGGGCCGTGTAAATTGCAGTTCATGTGCATCCAAGTGCACCACAAACGCTCACAGCCTGCTAAAAGCGATTTCCGTCAAATTTCCTCAAAAGTGTACATTGACACTTTTTTTCCGCATGTACGGAAATTTCAGTACTTTTGGAGGGTTCAGGTTAGTCTTTGGAAAGCCCTTTTTGTTGCATCGCATCGCAGAAGCGGATTCCGTTTCCCGCAACCCCGCACTGGTACCCGTTTTTGAGTTGGTTTAGAAGGAAACTGAAAGGACAACAGCCCTTGGGGTCCCTTATTTTGAGACGCACACCAGGGTCTGTCTGTGGACCCTTTCCTGATGAGGAACCATCAACCCTTTTAGGTCCAGAAGGTAGCAGCATCCCACCCTACGTGCCCACTCCTTGGGAAACAGTTTCTGATGTTGTCCGTCACGTTGTTTGGTTACCCTACCCGTATACGTCTTGCGTTGTTGTGCGCTTCTTTGCTGTTCGTTTATTTTTTGCGTTTCCGTGGCCTTTTTCTTCTCTTTCTACCTTTCGCGCGCGTTTTTTTCACGCCGGCCGGGGTCTCCTCTCGGAAATGATGTTCTTTGTGTTGCGGTTGACTAAATTTTCAACACACACACGCACACAAAACCTGAGCACACGGTTTTTGGTGCACAGACTCGGGCCCAGATTGGTGTCTTTTCTTCTGCCTCGAGTTTCTGGACTTGATCATTTTCGGGTTTTGACCATTTTGTGAGTTAAACAAAAGCTAGGTCCCCCAGGATCGTGCCCTTTTGCCCCTTTGTTTTGGGGAGGGTTCCCCTACTAGAATAGACTACAGGAAAAAAAAGGCACCCTTATTCTAACCTCTGTACTGCAGGACCTAGAAAGGTTTAACGCGACTTCGTTCGATCCAATCCACTGTTTCTCGATCGATTCTTCCTGGACGCTCAAAATTTTAACTTCAGAACGGGGCAAATTACAAACTAAAGGTATAGTGCGTGATTTCGTTTTCTTTTGGGTGGTTTGAGGGTCCAGGTATACCTTCCCACCATGGACGTGCACAAAAGGCATAGTATTCAGGTGACCTTTTTGGACAAATAGATGGGGCTGGGTCTCCCTGCTAAATGGAAAAATACACCATCAAAACCAGTGGAACCCATCGATCATCTATCTCTAACCAAACCTACCATATAAAAAAGAACACCATGATGTCTCTAAAATTGTGTCGTGCGAATGCGTGTGACATTTGACCAAGGGGATTGTTTTTGTTTCTTCTTCTTTTTCTGGCAACAACACCCTGGAGGCTGAACTTGTTTCCCACTTTCTGGCAAAAAACACCCTGGAGGCTGACATGTTCCCCACTTTCTGGCAAAACACACCCTGGAGGCAGACATGTTTCCCACTTTCTGGCAAAAAACAAAACTGGAGGCTGACATTTTTCCCGCTTTCTGGCAAAAAACAAAAACAAACAAAAAACTGGAGGCTGACTTTTCTCCTCACTTTCTGGGCAAAGCAAAAAACTGGAGGGTGAAATTTTTGTTTTCCCGCGCCTTCGCCTTCTGGCAAAGCCACCGGGCCGTTTTCTCTCCGCGGGGCCCGGCTTCCGCGGCTTGAGGCCGCCCTATGCGGCGGAGGTGGCGGCCTTGGTGGTGCTCTTCGCATGGCAGGCGGTGGGAGCCAGGCGGGGTGGGACAAAAATCGGGTGCCCCTCTGGGCCATGACCCCATTTTTGAAGCCTCATGGAGGGTCTAGGTGGCTCCTTTTTGAAAAGTTGGTACCCCCTCCCCCCCTTTTTGAGACCACAACTCTAGGGGTACCTTCCATTTCCATTCTTTCCAGGGATCCGAATCTTTCTAGAAAACATCCTTTGATTTGAAGCCCTTTTGGACAGAACGATGGTTTAAAAGAATGGGGACTCAACCCTCAGAACCCTAAGATTTTCTCGACGGCTTTTGGGCCCCAAATCTGGTCGTTTTCCATTGGGCGGAGTTGAATTGGTCGGGGTTCGAACCATTGGTTCGGGTCCGGGGGGTCTTAGGGCAGCCTCCTGTTCTATCCAAAGCTGCTTGGACCGATTTCAGTCTTTGAGGTCAGTGGTGCAAGGCCAACTCGTAGTTCGGGTCCAAGGGGCTCCTTTTCCATTCTCTTCCGGGATCCTCCTCTTATGGGCCAAACGCCCTGCCTAGACCTCTTACGGGCCAAAGCCCTGCCTAGACTCTTCTTCTGACTTCTGACCCTTCAAAAAAATTGGGCAAACTTTGACCCTAATCTTTCTTTTGGCTCGTCTGATCTGGGTCATGACCCACCACTTTCCAAAAGTAAGATTCGGAGACTCCAGGAGACTCCGGCCGGTTCGAAAGCGAGCGGTCTGGGTGATTCAGACCTCAGAGAAACGGAGGCCGATTCGGAAGCCAGGTGGGGGGTGCCCGTTTTGGGGTACCTAGAGTCTCCATGACCCTTCAAAAATGGGGGCATTACCCAAAATAGTGGGGTCATGGACCCATTTTTAAAGGGTCATGGAGACTCCAGGTACCCGTTTTGGGGGATTCGGATCTTGCTGTTTGGGTGGCTCGTCGTTTTTTTTGGTTTTCATTCTGGAAATGGTTGGTTTAAGTTCTAACACCAAAAGGAAAACCGAAGCCCATTTTGAGGGCCCGCTAAAGCAGGACACACCCATTTGCCCATGACTGGTTGATGTTGATCGGGGGCAGGAGAACCCCCCCTAATAAGACTGACGGGTTTCTTTTCATGGGTCAAGATTAGACCCCCAGTTTGAAGAGACACCCCCTTCGTTCTTGTGGGCTTCTCAAAATGGGATTCTGACCTTCCTTCCTTTGGGCATTGAAAGAAAATCGCAGCATTTTGGGGGAGTGTAAGGGACCCCCCCCCAAAAAAAAACAAAAAACAGCAAACATATGAGCCATTAAGGGTAGCATCAGGTTCCAGGCACTGGTTTTTGGCGAGGTGTGTAAGAGACCCTCCCTCCACAAAACAGCAAAAAGAAGATCGATTGCGGGTAGTCTCAGGGCACTTTGGGGGACCAACATTCGAAGGAACCCCCCATTTGGTTGTCGGAGATTGTAGATTCCAGCTTCTGTGCCAAGGAAACACCTCAGAAGTGACAAATGGTGGAGGTGTCTGTTTTGAGGGTACCCTTTTTGAGGTTTAAAGGGAAACCAAAAGCAACACTGCTATTTTGGTGGGTTCCTTTTAAAACAAAGAAGGAAACAAAAGAGCCAACCAATTTCATGATGGACCAGTGATGCTATCACGGAAAGGGATATGGTCCATTTCTTGTTTCAGGTTTTGGAATCATGCACTTTGATGACTCACTTGCAATCAGACCTGGAAGTATATGACTGTGGGACAAAACCAATGGTACCATTTTGGGGTAGGTGCACCACTCATTTTGTGCAAGACGGTATCACCAACCACTGGCTGGTGGACTTCTGAACAGCCCCAATTAGACTTCGCACCCATCCGGATCTGTTGTTTTCTTGGAAACCCCCAGCCGTCCCCTTAGCCTTTTAGGCTTTTAGGGTTTAGTGGTAGTTTCCAGATAACCCACTTAAAGATACACTTTTGGCAGGGGCTTCCGCGGCCAGGCCGTTCTTTTGGATCCTGCTTTGCTGCCAGCTAGGCCTGGGGATGCTTGGGGTCTCCTTGTGGTTTCCCTTTTAACACCAACCAAATAGACATCTAGGGCTTGTTGCTTACAAACTCTGGTACTCGCTTCCTGAGTTCCTGGACTTTCCCCTCCCTCAAGAAGAACAAGCCTCCACTCCAAACCAAGAGAGTCGCCTTGGGATGATGGACAAAAGACCAGTTCCTTTGTCTGTTGACGGGGATGGGACCCATTCACCTGGTGCTTAGGCAGCCCAAGTACCTGGTGGCTCCACGACCTCTTGTTCTCGCTTCCTGAGTTCCTGGACTTTCCCCTCCAACCAACATGGCAACTGTGGGAGGGTACCTGGAAGATCAAGCTCATCTTGGAGGGACCCCCTTTCAGGTGCCATGTTAGTGGGAGAGAGGGTAGGCACTTGTTAGGTTTGGACCGTTTTAGTGGCAAAGGACCAGTATGGACTTCTTCTGGACCATCAACTCAGGAAGCGAGGGGGCCCCGAAAAGAAATAATAGAACATTAAAAAAACAAAAAAAACCCACACCCAGGCCCGGTCCCAGTCACGGTGTTGTTTGTTCCACATGCTCCAGTCATGGGCTTTCTTGCCTTTAGTGGGCCCATGTGACCCCTCTTTTCCGTAATGACCCCACTTTTCCAGGGTCAGATTCGGAGACTCCAGGTACATTCTTTGGAAGGGAGGGCGCCTCCAAAATAAAATTAGGCACCACTCAGTGCTTTGCATGGTGTTCTGGTTTCTGCTGCATCTTTTTTGGCAAAGCACCTCTTTAGAGTCAAGCGCAAAGGCTGGTGTTTTGTTTAGTCCCAAGCCAAGGATTCCCTCAGTGGCTGAACAAAGGGGGGACTCTTTGACAGGGCTCCTTAAAAGATACATTTTGCCCATTTGAAACATGGCTTTTTCCACCAAATAAAGCGAATCCACCATTTACAAAGCAATGTTCAGGTGTATAATGTAAGGATCCCTGTTTGAGCCCGTTCGATTCATGTTCCGATCGCTTGCAAAGCATGGTGTGTGCTGCATGCGAAAGAAACTCATTTGTTCGAACCCATTGAGGAGGTCATCCAAAGTACTCCCAGTCAGCGTGGGCTGGGCTCGCTTGCATATCGCTGTAGCCAAGCCCCGACCATCTAATCGGGACTCGAGTACAGCGATATGCAAGCGAGTCCAGCCCACGCTTGTTTGCATGTCAACCAAATGGCCATGAGTCAAAACCCCGTGCCCCCAGTGAACATCCCAATCCAACCACTAAAATAGGTTCTAAAATGGGTGGTGCACCTATATTGGTTTTGAGCCATGGCCATGATGTGAAGTTTCCTTGTCAGCAAGTGGCTAAGGGTGGAAGTGGGTGGACATCCAAGCTCAACGGCAACGCTAACCCGAAGGCGCGTCGCCTCAGTGAGATCATCGTGGGGGAGCAGGTGGAGACGATGATCAACGGCATCGCCAAGTGTGATACTTTCCCGATGCCGTCAAGAACAAGGTCATCAGTTACCGACGGGTCAGAGCCGCAAATATCATTGGGTTGCTCAAGGACTCAGGTTCTTTGCGACGCTCTCCCTGTCAGAGGATCAGCCACATACCCCTTGTTCATACCGGTCCCTCCGCTTCCCTGGTTTCCAACCCACTTTATAAGGGGTATGTACCCCTTTTGGGGAGAGGGGTATGAACGTACGCAAAAGGGCCATGTAGAAGCACCCCTGGAAAGTAACCATCAAACCATGAGTCGGAAAGGAGGCGCGGTCGAGTTCAACTTACGATCCATATTCAAACAGATACGCAGCGTGACGCAGACTCCGTCACTTGGGCCTCTTTTGATATTGCCTTTTACTTGATTCACTCAGTACGAACAAGGGTCTAAACATGCTTTGAATTGAGGGCGAGATGAGGTTACTCAGGTGGTTGCTTTGTTGGTTTCAATGAATCTGCTGTTTGCATCGTCTGTTTAATCAGTGCTTTCTAGGCCCCTAGTAGTGCCCTTTCACCACTATTTTGGGGGAGAAATAGACTACATAAAACAGTTGGTACCCTTATTTTAACCTCTCAAATCTGGAGGACCTAGCTTTGTTTCACAGCTGGGAGCGGATGGAAGGACCTCGGGCTCTACACCTTGGCAAAATTATCGTTTTACGACCCCACAGATTCGCAATGCTTCCATTTGCGTCTAAGAATATTTGTTATTTTCCCCTGTTGGTTTTAAAGGGAATCGATTTCACTACTGGAAATATGTGGTTTATGTCCAGGAGTCTTAACCAAATGGAAGAATAAGGTCGACCCCGGATCTATCAACCGGGTGAAACTAAATGAGGGTGGTTTCCTTCAAAGGTGCTTGGACGTGCCCGCTTGAACGGGACACCCACAGTGGACGAAATCAGCCTTCCAACGAAATATGTCAAAAGGGGGAAGCCATGAATACCAACTGTTGGTGGGGAAAAAAGTGTTTTTTCAAAGGAAGCCACAGGAACTACAAGCATTGCCAGTTGGCTTCCCCTTTTTGACATATTCGTTGGAAGGCTGCCGAACTCTTGTGCCCACCCCAAAGTTTTCCCCGTCTCCCGTCCGGTTCCGATGCTGGGTTGGGTTGGTTTCCATGAACCCTACCCCCTACTCCAAATGCCCGTTCTTTTTCTAGGGTATTTTTTGAAAAACCTGGGCTTCCATGGTAAATACCTTCATTTTTAGTAGAGGGTCGACATCATACCCTAGAAAAAGAGGGTATTTGGAGTAGGGGGTACAACCTCCCACCCTTATCAATGAGGACCTGCCTTGGCTTCTTGGATTCTTTGCCCTCACACACACACACACCGTTTGGGCTTGAGGGACGAGCAAACGAGCAGATGACCATTTACCCAACGAGCAAAATGGAGGTTTCCACAGCCAGTGTTGGGGCCTTGTACACCCATCCAGGGCCCCAAAAGAGCCCCAAAAAAAAAGCACGAGATCGCGGTCGCTTTTGTCGCTGGTTTCCAGGCTCCTTGTGGTTCCCCTTCCCCTTGGTCGCTGCCGGCGCAGCCTTCGCCTTGGGCATCGCCCGGATCCGATCTTTGAGCTTCCTCATAAATCAAACCCCGGAAAACAGAGAAAACAAAACGGAATCGTTTAGCTCTTTCTTTTGCAGAAGCTTTATTTGTTGGCCAACTCCCCTAAAACCATGTTTTTTGGAATCGTCACTTTAAAAAAAAAAAGTCAGGGAAGGTGGATTCGCTTTGGTTGCAACTGCGAAAAGGTACCAACTCAAGTGCCAAACTCAAAGTCAACCTACAAAAGGGGCACACACCAAAAAACCGGTACTGTTGATCCCAAATTATTAAACCGCCATGACAAAGGCCGAAAATGGGAAGCCAATGAGTGGCAACCCAAGAGGTGAGGACCCGCTGGGCAAGTGAGTTTCGAGTTTTGCGGGATGTGGTCGCGCTTGGCTCAAGGGAACCCCCATTTCCCACCATGAATGAAGTTGGGTTTCAGTATGGGTTCCCGTTTTTTGCTCACGCCACCCTTGGGTTGGTTCTTAGGCAGTGTCCTTTTTTTTTAAGTTGGCGCCGGTTGTTTCAGGTTGCCCTTTGATGGTTTGGGGACTTGAACCCCGACTTTTGAAGGCCCCAATGTTCATGTGTTGGTATGTGTGTGTGTGTGTGTTTTTCGTTGCGGGGGAGAAATGCTCAACTTGATGCCCGCGAGAAAAACCCGGTGTTTCTGATACGATGTTGGAATCCCCTCATAAGTAGTGAAGTGGCGATTCCCAGCCGCTCCGCGGATTGATATGTTCTTTTCGTTTTCGCTTTTTGGGGGTTTGGTTGGGTTTCCACCCGGTGAGGTCTCCGCCAACTTGTTGAGATACCAGGCCGGGCGAGCCGAGGTGTTCGCTTCTTTTTGGATTCTGAGCGACAGGAAATGAGCAGTTGCAACCCGTAAGAATAGTGATGTCACTTTGGTTCCCCTTGAAGCCAACCCCAAAAAAGGTTTGGATTGTTGGTTTGCACCCCTTGTTGCAGAGGGTAAATGGGACACCAAATCAAACCACCCCATCAATTGGGGGAAGCTGAAATGAGCACGAAGCCGAGGCGCTTATCAACTTCCTTCGAATGCCATGGCTGAAAGCTTTGGGGTATTTGCCCAGGCTAAGTGGTTCGGAGCCCGGTTGGGGATGCCCGGCAGGAGCTATGGAGCCGAATGTGCATAGGTGTCCTTTTTGGATGTCGAAAAATCGGTGGGGCGATTCCTGGTTTACCTGGTGGTTGAATCATCTAGCCCATCTGTTTCTTCCAACAGGACGCCTATGCGAATCTGGTGTTCCGGGGTTCCCATTTACCTTCAAAAGCCAGGGGTTCATGCCCCCGAAGTCCGACAATCCGCACCCAGCTTGATTGCCCTCTGGGTTTTGGATCTTTAGACTCTAACTTCTCCCTAGATAGCCAAGTTGCGATCGCTTGTTTCAGTCACTGTTGCTGGTTGTTGGGGTAAAGTTCATGGAACAAAAACAGCAACTGGCGATCCAGGTCGCTTGAAATTGTTCAGTGTTCCACTAAACCCGCAAAACGTGGCAACAGACAAGGTTTGGATTGTTGGTTTGGATCTCTTGCAGAAATTGTTCAGTGTTCCATGAAACCCACCAAAAGTGCAACGTGGGGGATCTACAGCCAAGCAATTGCGGGTCACCTGAAAGTGCCCAAGCTAGGCAGGACTTGTTGCCGAATCAGATCGCCGCTGGAATCAAGGCATGCCCAGCTTCGATTCACGAAGTCTGGCCTTTTCTTGGCTGTGGCTCAAAAATCGGAAATTTCCAAAATGGAACCGATCGGTAAGTGGAAACATGGACCAAAACCTGCGGTTTGCCTCTCCTGTTTAATTTTGGGCCACACCCTCTTCAGTCTGACAATCCCCACTTTTCAAAGATAGAGGATGGTGATTCCTGGAATACCATGTGCGCCACAATCAAAACCTGGGTAGATGAAGGTTGGCAAGGGGCAGTCGTAGCCTGAATAGCTTCGGCCGCCTTTTCATTTCCTCGGGTATTTGAGAATGACTCCTGTCAAAACATGTTTTTCCCTTTTCTGGGGACTCAAGATGGACGCGCGGGACCCTGGTTTCGAGGGGATATCTGTTGCAACCTCATGGACGGTACCCAAGGCTAGGTTATGTCAGAGCCGTCTCGGTGGGTACAAACATGGGTCCCTGGCATTTCCCTGGGCAAGTTAAAACATAATGTTAGCCCCGGATTAAGCAGCACCCCTGGTTGATTTTCATAGGGGGGGGCTTTTCCCCTTTTAGTGGTTGGATTCAGACCACGTTTGGAGGGAACACCCCCGTAATAATTAATGGGACGGTTTATTAATCCTGGGTCAACATTATTTGGACTAACTGTGGGGTGGTGCCAACCCACCTCACATGAACAACCTGGAACATGCAGCTTGGAAGCTTGCACCCTCAAGCAAATGAGGCGAACGTTGCTCAAAGTAGGGCAGCCTCAGAAGATGTAGAGTCTCCATGACCCTTTGAAAACAGGGTCATTACCCAAAAGAAAGGGGTCATGACCCCCTGATTAAATTGTTATGGAGAGTCTAGGCTGTCAGTTTGGTGTCCGAAAAGAGCAGAAGGCACAAGCGAATCAAACAATTGATAAAGAACCATGTCACAGTGTCACGCTAAAGGACCACACGCAGCATGCAAAGAAAAACAGAAGAAAACAATGCGGAGCAAAAGCCATAAAGTGGGCTTGACGGTTGTTGGCATGTGTTTAGCAGTTGTGTTTACGTTGTTTGTTTGGTTCTCTTCATTTTCAGTGGGCTGCACCTTCGCTTTTCGGGTGCCCTAGCAAGGGTTGTACCTTCCATGGAAGCTACAGGACCGCCCGTGGGAGATTCTTTGGAAGGCTCGGTTCCATGTACAGAGGCCAATTGGGGGAGCGACCCCACGTTAGTCTGGGAGTGGGTAGGGTGATCCCTGGGGTTTCACTTCCGATTCCTAAGAGAAATGGCAAGGAAGGACCCAATTGTTGGGAATGTGCAGATATGTGCCTCACTTCCTGAGTTCATGAACTTTACACTTTTTGGGAAGAGTATTTTCGTGGTAAATATAAAGTTCGGACTTTTTGTTGGGCCATCCACTCAGCAAGTGAGGAGGAAGCGACCCCATGTTTGCCGCCCGGGGCATGGAGACTCGAGGAACCCATTTTTCTACCAAACTGGGCTGGGCCGCCTTCCCTCTCGCACCCAAAGGTTGGTGTTCCATGCACTCAACCGCCTTTCTGCCAGCCTGGGTGTCCTTTTTGATTTGTTTTGGTTGAAAAATCGGTTGGGCGATTCCTGGTTTATGTGGGTATCATCCACCAGGGAAAAATCCATCTTTTGATTGTTTTGGTTGAAAAAGTAGATGGCGATTCCTGGTGTATGTGGTGGTTTAATCATCCACCAGGGAACAATCCATCTATTTCCCTGAAAAGGACGCCTATGTCTGCCAGGTGAAGCGCCGCTTGGCTCGGCTCAACATGTTGCGCATGCGGCCGCAGATGGAGGCGCCGGCCGCAGATTTTGGTGCCGCCTGGACGGGGAAAAGGCGTTGTCGTTTTTCAGTGAGCCGTCCACCTGGAGCTCGGTCATTTTAGTAGTGCCCTGTCTCTACCCTTTGTTTTTTTGTGGGGGAGATTCGGTTCCCCTACTAAAATAGACTGCAGAAAAATAATTGGATACCCTTATTCTAGCCTCCGCTAACCTCTCTACTGGAGGACCTGGGGAGTCTCCATGACCCTTCAAACATGGGGTCATTACCCGAAATACTGGGGTCATGGACCCATTGTTAAAGGGTCATGGAGACTCCAGGCAGAAACCCAGGGGTTCCCTCATTGCCTTGCAAGTGAGGGACTTCAGCACCTCCCTCAAGATTCCAACTTTAAGGATGGGTTATATATTGCAACCCCAAAGTATGGTTTGCGAATTCCCCCCTTTTTATGGGCAGTTTGAGGGTCCGGGTCCTTGCTGTAAGCTTTGTTTAGCGGAAATGACGGTTTGTCTAAACAGCAGGTCAAGCTTTTGTGCACTCGGCTGAGATATCAGCAGTCGACGTTTCCACACCCGAGACCACTACAACCAACTGGGGGTTTAATGGGCAACTCAATAGCCACAAAAAGGTGGGGGATATAATACGGTATATACCTTGATTTCCCAGACGTAGTGGTTTGGTAGTGGAAACCACCATAGATACAGGTTTGACTCGAAGGTAGCTAACAACCCAGAAAAAGTCCCCGCGTGAATCAAGACCTTGGTTCCAAACATGGGTCTCCCTGCGAGTCTTGAAACAAAGGGGTCACAACCCCGTACATATCGATACCTAGACTCTCCATGACCCTTAAAAAGTGGGGTCATTACCCAAAATAAAGGGGTCATGACCCCATTTTTAAAGGGTCATGGAGACTCTAGGTACACCCTTGTTTGTTCGACCAAGGAGACTCCAAGACTTTAGGAACGACCCCCGAACATCGGCGAACCCTTAGTCGGTGGTTTGGATTGGTTTGGGATTTGAACTTCTTGTAGAGGGTACATGGGAAAGAACCCTCCCCGGAAAACCACCAAACCGGGCTGCAAACCAACCATTGAAGGGAAGCCTCACTTCCTGAGTTTCTGGACTTTAGTCACTTTTTGGGTTTGGAACTCACTTATACTTTTCTTGGTAGACTCTCCATGACCCTTAAAAACTGGGGTCATTGCCCAAAACTAAGGGATCATGACCCCTTTTTCTAGGGGTCATGGAGACTCGAGGCACGTAGTTTCAACAGGAAACCAAAGGGATTCTAGAGGTCCAAATCCCTACTTTGACCCTGGAAGTGAGGGAAGTGAGAAGCTGACAAAAAGAGACACGACATCTCCACTTGAGCCGCGCCCTCCAAACCCGGGTAAGTGAAGGATAGTAAGGGACACTCCCAGCCAGAAATAGTTGCGTCTGAATTCTTGAAGCATGGTTCTGGCTCTGGGTGTCCTTTTTGGTTGTTTTGGTCATGGATTGCGATTCCTGGTTTTCCTGGTGGTCTAGTCATCTACCAGGCTACCAGGGCCATCTATTCCCCCGAAAAGGATGCCTTTGGGCTCTGGGTTGACCATTTGAATACTAGATTTCTAGGGGCTGCTTCCCCATTCTTTTGAACCACCGTTCTTTTCAACAACTAACTGTTTCCTTCCGGGTTTTGGGTGGTTTTGCAGAAAGAAGGATGCCTGGAAAGAATGGAAATGGAAGGTACCCCAATAACTCAGTTGTCCAAAGCCGACCCGACCTTTTGACCTTTTGGTTTTCCCATGTTGGTCCATTTTTAGTAGAGGTGCCAAAAGGTTAGCTTTTTAGTTCTGGGTCCTTTGGGCAACTGAGATAAGCCAGGGCGACCTCCTCATCTTCGCGCTGCTCATCCTGGGCGCCTGCTGCGCAGGCCGGCCTTCGAAGCGACGGTCGGAAGACCTGGGGGGGTTTTTCGGTGTCTCACTGAGGTCCGGTTCGGACGTTAGTGTAAGCCCGGGCCGTTTTGAGGTGTTGTTTTCTTCCTTGAACAATTTGACGTTTAATTTTGACCCCCCCAGATTGTTCATCCACCAAACAGTGTGTTTCATGGGGGGGGGTGCTTCTTCACGGGTGAAATGTGGGGATTGTTTTCACTTTTTGGAGGGGCCCCCACCCCGCCTATTAATAAACTGGGGTTGATGAAGACGGGGTCAGCACTAGTCACTTTTGTGGTTCAGACCACTGGTAAACCAACAGTTGTTCGACTGTTTTGGGCAATCCACTCGTTCGGAAGTGAGAATGGGGTTGCCACTGATTCTTTACGGAAATCTAGGTAAATTCTTTGCAGAAAAATCTAGGGAGGTTTGGCTTGTCAGGATCACCAGGTTTCAAGGGGGACTCGTAGGGAGCCCTGTGAACGGGCAGAGTGGTGGGATCCTCACTTGTCAACCCCTGAAGCAGGGAGGCATTTGCCATGGGAAGCCCGGTTTTGTGTTAAAAGAAACAGTAATGCGGGTATTTTGGAGTAGGGGCCACCTGAATGGGCCTGGTTTTGCGAATGGCGATGTCTTTGCTGGTTTAAGATACATCTGCCTGTTCTATAGCAAGCTTCAGTTGAAGGTATAACGAGCTTCAGTTGATAGTAAAGGTCCTTTTGCTTGGGGATCCCTTGCTTCAGCTTTTGGACATATCGCTAAAAGTTGCAGATGCATTGCCTTTGGGCTTTGTCGTGCGTGAGAAGGTTGTTTGATACCAACCCAACGCGATGTTTCGCCACCTCTCTGACACAGGGGGCAAGCTTCTGAAGCGGAGAATGGATGGGTCATGCAGGCGTTCAAATTGGCACGGGAAACATGAGTGCTGCAAAATATGGGCACGGCTCAAAGTCAAACAGCCGGGGTTATGCAACTGTTAGTCTTTGGTTTCAGCTTAGCAAGGTGACATGTTGGGCATCAATTTTTGAGCCAGGGCCATAGTGCGGGTTTTCAGGTTATTTTGAGTCCGGAGTCCTGAATGGGTCATGTAGGCGTTGATTCCTAGAATCTTGGGTTCTTTTGACCTTCAGTTCGGTCTGAATTCCTTGTCGGGCCCCCCCACAGCACAATGCCAAGAGTCAGTTGGAGCTCCTTGAGGAGAATCATTTTGTTGGAGGGGCGGGGGGGGGAAGCTGCACGCTTCGGATTTCGCAGAAACACTTTCTCAGTAGTGCCCTTTTACCTTCCTTTTTTGTTGGGGGGCGGGGTCCCCTACAAAAATAGACAGAAAAAGTTGGTACCCTTATTCTATCCTCGTAAAGCGACCCCCAATTGTTCAACGTGCTCCAACATTTGAGCCAGCCAGAAACTGCGTTTGAATCGTTTTCACCTGTTCAACGCAACCACACAGAAGCTCACTCCCTGAGTTCCTGCGCTTTAAGCTGTGAACAGGCAATTTTAAATCTTAGTGGCAACAAGTTTTTTGTGTTTTTTGGAAGTATGTGAGTGATAACAAGTTTGGACTGTTTTTGTGCCAATCCACATCAGAAGCGAGAAGCAATGGCTTCTCATATCATATCCAATGGATTCGCCCGTGGAGCCCCCGAAACCCCGAAACCCGATGCGCTTCGCGCTGTGCGCTTCGCGCGCTTTGCGCTTCGCGGAAGGCAATGGATACGGATCCCTGAGAAAGGATTTGCGCGGAAGCCTAGATTGCAGGGTCGCCTATATATATATATACATATATAGGTCAACAAGCGGTTTTTAATATAACCACCGGTCTTCGCAGGTATGACAGGTGCGTCCAAATCGTGTTTTTTGGTTGGGACCTCCAGAATGCGGGGGTTCCCAATTTGGTTTCCTGTTTCAACCACGTAAGTACCACGTACCACTAGTTGCCTGTATCAATGCCTCTTTGCTTTCCCCTGGCAAAGTCGCCCCCGTTCAGTGATGGGTGAAAGGGAAACAACCGACCATTTTCTGACTTGGGGATTTTGGGATCTCCAGAATGCTCAACCCCCCCCCCCCGGACCCTGCAGAGGAGAACCCCGACCAATTCCCCAGGGGCCCAATGGAAAACAACCACTTAGTCCCCAAAAACAATCCATCGACCTTGAGGGTGCTATGGTTCTAGGGAGTCTTGTGCCTTGGCGAGCTTCCGATGTGGAAGTCAGCTCGAAGCTGACTAATTATTTCGTACCACCGCTCAGACAAAAATCCACGGAATGGTTCGATTCCCCAACGTTAATACCAACAAGAAATGGGCCTAAGACTGGAATGATTCGCCACCAAGCTGTATGGCTTCAACTCCATTGTCATTTCGTGGTGTGTTTTACGGGATTTCAGAATCTTGTTGGCTTGGGAACTATTGCAACCCCCCCCCCCCACACAAAGAAGCATGGAGGCTTTTTGTTCGCTCACGACGCCGGGGCTCCTTGCGCAGCGCGTGCTTTGAAACCGAGAAACCATCGCGAACAACCCATCTGTGTAGTGTTTCTCAATGGAGAACTCGCGGGTGGCTTGTCTAAGAGCCAAAAACAAGCACAAAAGATGAAGTAAGCTGGTCCTCTTGCTTTTGAGTTGATCACACTCCTGAATTTCGGTGATCAATGGCGCGTTTCCCTTCGATTTCCTTCCGAACGAACCATATAATATAGAAATCAGAGCCATTGCGTGCTTCTGGTCGAAGCGCGCGTGTCAATATGCCAAACCTGGGTTCTGATGGACTGTCAGCCAAGAGCTTCAAGTCTTAGCCCTTTTGCTTCGCACACATCGCGGATTCCCTTTTTGCCAGAACAAGACGATAGGAACACAGAATTCCTCCCAGAATGTGGGAGTCTAATGAACCATTTCTAACCAACTTAAAGGACTACCTAGAGTCTCCATGACCCCTAGAAAAAGGGGTCATGACCCCTTTTTTTACGGCAATGACCCCATTTTTTAAGGGTCATGGAGAGTCTAGGCTAATTGGTGGGATCTTGAAGCTTCAACTTCTGAGTCCTTGCTTTTGGATGATCCCCAAAATTGAGGAGTTCTCCTGCTGGTTTCCCTTTACCCCAAGGGGTAGCACCTCCAAAAAATCTCCGCCCTGGTGGTATCCCCAGTGGAAATTCCTTGGAACCCTCCGGAACTACCCCGGAGCCTAGCTTAGCAGAGCCTGGAGCTTTCAGCTGGGGGAAAATGGGACCTGAGTTGATGGACTTTAAACTTTTTGGAAAGACAATTTTAGTGGTAAATAAAAAGTTCAGACTTTTTTGGCCAGTCAACTTGGGAAGTCAGGGGAGCTTTGGAGCATCCTCCCACCGTTTTTTCATGCACCGATTAACATGGAACCTAACGGACAGGGGCGGGGGGGGGACCTCTTCTGGGGTCATTCTTTTCACGGTTTCTGGGGGTTGTCAAAGTCAGAAAATTGGGTGATTTCAAATTTTCCCTTTAACCCACCACTTAGGGAGTGACTTTGATCATGGTACAGTACTGAAGCCAGCTCTTTAAAAGGACACTGGACCCCTGTCTGGTGGGAGGGCATCCTCTCGAAATTTCGACGCGGCAACCGCCCAAAATGCATGCCTTGCTAGGTTGCCCGCGCTGCGCGCGCGCACCGGTGCGATTCCTTTGCAGCGGCAGGAGTGGGCCGGGTGCGCAAGGTAAGCCTTCCATTTGCTTAAGAATGTGTCCTATTTCGCCCTGTTGGCTTCAACGGGAATCTATCACTACTGGAAGTATGTATGTTTTTTCCCCAGGAAGCTTATGCACATGGAAGCAACCAATGTATGGAAGGGGGGAGGGTGCAATTGTCCCCAAAAAAGAGAGGCAAACCCTTACTGCATGGCTTTCCCATATTCCGTGGGTAAAAAGGTCGGCTCAAATGTGGCACGTCATTTTGCCCGGGTGCTGATCTATTTAGCAACCAAAGGCCTAGGAACCGAGGTCCTCTTTTCGAGTCACACCTAAGCAGATGTGAACTGTGGAAGGAGCATATGGAGCATCGAAATCGGGGGTGTGACGATGCCGGGCGCCGGGATTTGGTTTGGAGTATGGTCAGAAAAAAACCAGTTAGCAGATGGACCCACGATGGCCCACCCATTTCCTGGGGTTATCTCCAAACGTAGAACTGCACCTGGTTGGGTGTGCCAACTGGATGTTGGGTCCTGATTGAGCAATCCCTCAGCGGCCAAAGTTGCTCAAAACCGACCTTTGAGCCGTTTGGTGTTCCGTTTTTGGGTCGACTGTTGGTAAGGTCGCGAAAGGTTACTCTCTTTTGAGCAATCTTAGACGCTGCGAGGTTTTTAGTCTTTTCCTCATCCATGAGTGTGTAAAGTAAAGTATTGGGTGATTTGGGTCTGTGCACTTCCGTGCTAGGGCAACTTTTGTTATTTGCCAAAAACGGGTTTAGTTAACCTCACTTCCTGAGTTCATGAACTTTAAACTTTTTGGGAAGACCATTTTACTGGTGATTATAAAGTTTGAACTTTTTTTGGGCCATCCACTCAGCCAGTGAGTAACATGTAATCGTTTTATTTCTTGGTCGCAAAGGGACAGCTAAGTGATCCGGGACAAATCGCGTGGTTAGCTACCATAGCCCACTTGATATTGGCAGGGGTTCCTCAATTTTTGTTCTTTTGGGCCTCCAAAAGTGGCGATCGGTTTAGAGCAAACCTGTAAGTTGCTCAACTTACAGGGAAATTCACTGGCCCCTGTAAACCTGGGTAGATGCTGTTTCACCCAAATGGGGAATGTAAACCCGGACGAATAACCCCCTAGTTGATGAACAGGAGGGTGTTCCATTTAGTTGTGTCTTCACCCATCACCCTTACCCAGGAACTACTTAGCGTCTCAGAACCTTGCACATGGCTCGCTGGAATCGGTCCAGCTTGCTTAAGGTTCGGTGTCTGAAAGCTAGCAGCTTGTGCCAGAGCTTGGTTTTTGGCAAGGGACCCCTCTATTTTCAGTGAGCCATCCAGACAAATCCAGTTCCCCGCATGGCCTGGCAAAAAGTTGTTTGGGCTGATCAGCACCTGGCGCAAATTGCCACCAAAAACATCGGGTTGGTGAATTGCCCCTCTTTTAGGGGTAGTGTGAGGGTCTGGGCATCCATCTTCCGGATGCTCCTTTTGGACAAAGTTCTGGTGGGTGAATTCCCTCCTTTCTTAGGGGGTTAGTTTGAGGGTCCGTTTTTTTTTGCCGGCTGCTCCTTTCGGGCTGGAGGGCTTTCGCCAAATGGACGAAGTCGAAATCGGAGGGTTTCACAAAGGAGGCTGGGGGCATCATGGCCTGGGTGCTGTGCCGGCCTCAGAGTCTCGGAGTTGGCGGACGGTCGATTCAAATAGGCAACGGTCCGTTAAAACTGGGGGGGGGATTTGTTTTGGTCTCCAAGCTGAACCCCACAAGAATGGCAGTGGGTCAAAAACATGTACCCAACATGGCCCCTGGGCAAATGGGAAAAAAGACCGTAGCCCCTGCTCTTAAATTTTGAGCCACACCTTTTTTTTTTTTTTTGGGGGGGGGGGTACCAACTTGAAAAAGTAACGAGCCACCCATGTGGTCTCACGAGAGCCGAACGCCAGCATTTGACCTTTCAGTTTCCGTTCTTGGTCCAATTGTTGTCCCCCCCCCTACAATCCAGCTACCCAGAGGTTCTCGATGAATTTAGGGCCCTCAAACAGCCAGTTTTTGAGACCCCCAAGCACCTCCGAGTCTAATAAAAGGGTCGGGTCTTCGATTCAAAGCCCCAGGAGCCTCTGGCTAGAATTTGAGGAAGTGGCCAAAAACAAAGGTGCGCTCTGGCAAGCGTTCCTGCGGTCCGCTGAATTGTCGCACGAGAAAAAGAAGCAGGTAACGAGCCGCGATGAAAACTGCGGCAAACAATGCTTAGATGGTCTTGGAGTTGCTTAAATGGTTAAAAAGCCTGTTATAACTCACTTAAGGGACTTACAACCATGATAAGTGGCAATTCCCAGACCATCTAAGTGCTGATTGCTTCCTGTTTCTGAAAACGGTGTTAAACGAAATGGGGGTGTCCTAGGTTTTCGTAGGTTTTGGTGGACCCCCCAAATGTTGATTTTCCCTTTACAAAACCAACAAAAGGGTACCCTCAAACAAGTATGAAGACTCATAGGAGATGTGTCACAAGACGCGAAATATGCATGTATGTGGCAAAGCCAGTTCCCAAGTTCTAGTGTGTTTCTAAGCTTTTCCAGGCCAGTTTTGGTTTCCCTCCCCCCCAGTTTGAAAACTATCCTCGGTTTCCAGGGAATCGTCCGGTTCTCTAGGTTTGTAGGTGTTTTTAGTTGGTTTAGTTGGTTTAGTGTTTAGGTTTAGTTGGTGTTTTTTGGTTATTCAGTTAAGTGAGCCACAAGTTAAACTTTTAGCAGGGGATCTGAGGACAGCCCAGTATCTGGAGGGACAATGTGTCCGCTTGCAGCTTTCCCCCTTACAACTCTCCAAACCCAGAGCTATTGTGCTCCTCCCGCCAAACATGAACAGTGCTAACAACTGGCTGGGCTTTTTTGTAGGGCCTTGATCCTATTCATTGAAGTTCACAAGTTGCCAAGGCCGCAAAAAAAAACAACAACACCTTCCGGTTCTCGGTTATTCAGTGGCATATGTTTCCACTTGTTGCAAGAGCTCCCTGAGCATCAACCGGAAAAAAAAATCGAGTCCCGGTTTCTTCCAGGCTCATTGGCTAAGTTCGAAGATTGTGGGCGCGGTGTGAGGGTTGGAAGCATTGGCTTCGACCAACTTGCCAGACCCCAGTCCTGAAAAGAAACGGGTGCCACAAACTCGTTGAACAACACGATGGCTTGGGACTCGAGTCGTAATCATGGTTGTTGTTGGGAAACATGTTTCCCATCTTTGCTTATTGCGGTTTGGTGGTTGAAATCCAACCACTGAACTGCTAAGATTTGCTTGCATTTTTGCTCCCCTAACCCAACGTCAACCAAGCAATCCTTACCACGTTGCCACGTATGGCTTTGGGTTTCCAACAGGCTTTGGCCCAAGCCGTTGGGAGGTTTACCAGTGAAACACCAGCCCGCAGCCCGAAGGTAGGAGGGTAAGGCATAAATTCTCCGTGACCCTTCACCCAAACATGGGCTCAGGACTCTTCGCCTTCGCTCTTGGTGGCATGTCTTGGGTTGTTTTTGTTCTTTGCTTTTTGTTGGTTCTGTTTTCATTTTTGAGAAGGGGGCCCGCTAACAGACACTTTTTGGTTCGCCACCCTACCGAGGGGTTGAAAGTCATGACCCTCTTCTTTTTGTTGGTAGGTGACCAGCGGGTCGACTCATACTAGTACCTAGAGTCTCCATGACCCCTAGAAAAAGGGCCCATTTGACCCCTGAAATCTTCGGGCAATGACCATATTTATATTTTTGTTTGAGGGTCATGGAGAGTCTAGGTACTTGATTAATAAACCCATGTTTTTTTTGTTTTGGGGGTGTGTTTTCCTGTTTTTAGTGGGGATTTATCACTGTTGGATCCATTTTTGTAAGGGTCAGAAGGCGACTCGGCGCCGAGGTTGGTGCTGGTGGCCCTGATCGCGATGGCCACCGTGGCTGCTGGGCGAAACAAAACAAAATCCACCGGCGCGACTGGAGACTTGGAGCCGCTTTTGTTATTTGTGCCTTTTCTTTTCTTTTTGGGGGGGGGCGATGGCCACCGTGGTTGCTCGGCAAAACATTTTTTTTAATATTAAACAAAATCTGGGGAGGGGGGGGGGGGGGCGAGAAATGGCTGCTCAAAAAAGATGTACCTGGAGTCTCCATGACCCCTAGAAACGGGGCCCATTTGACCCCTCAATTTTGGGCAATGACCAACCATTTTTCAAGGGTGGTAGAGACTCCAGGTACCCACAATTGCAGCTTGGTAGAATGGAATCAAAGAATAAGACCTGTGTAACCCTAGCGCTCTCTGATTGTTTGAGCTACCCCGAATTTATTTCCCTGACGCACCCATACGCATGTCAGGTAACCCTTGGTTGGTGATTTGGATTGGTGGTTTAGGAATTTGAATTTGAAAGCCTGGTTCTTGTGGAAGGTAAATGGGAAACCGCCAATCTACAGGGAGAAGGGGGGTGTACCTCCGACTAGCGGTTCGTAACCGCGACTCAAACAAAAAGCAAACACGACGAATGACTAATACTACTGACAAGAGTAGTACTAGTCCCTAGGAGTGCCTTGGACCCTAAATATGGGGGCCTTTGACCCCCTTTCCGGCCTCAAGCAATGAGGTCGTGGGCTCCTAGAGATTGTTAATATTATATTTCTCATCCACGGCGAGTTTTTTGTTGGTACGCCCCCTTGTTTTGGGTGGTTTGAAAGGAACACCACAGGAAACCCACCAGTTTGGGGGATCCCCCAAAAAATGGAAAGCCCAAATTGAAAGCAAAGGGAACCAGCCACTCGCAGAGAGACAAAGCATGATGCATTGTCCCATTTCGTAGCTGAAGTTGAGAGTTGAGTGCTGATTTAGTGAGTCATTTATGAGAGTCTTAGAGTCTTCATTTGGGTTGTGTCTCTTTGTTGGGAGTTACGCCTGTCTTTGTGCCAAGGGAAAACCAAAAGACCAGCTACTTCTTTGTTTTTGTTATCCTTTTTTTTGTTTGGGGGGGGGGAAGGGGTTGGTACCCATGTTGTTCCTTTACAAAAGGACAGCCACTCACTTTGTTTTTGCGTCACGTCACGTCCCCCCGAAGGAAAAAAAAAAACGGCCCGGCGCTGAGGCGAAGAGGCCCTCGGAAGGCGAGCCGGGCCGGGGCGCCTCAGCCTCCGAAAAAACATCGCAACGGGAGAAGGAACAAAAAAATCCCGGGGCCGCGTCGGATGAAAGGCGCGGCTGAGGGAAACCCAAGAGCTCGCAGGACGAACGGTTTTTGTCACCAACAAGGTTCCCCAGCGAACGATTCGATTCCTAGGTCTTCCAGCAAACGGTGCCCTTTTTTACCCCTTTTTGTTTTGTTGAGAGGGTTCCCCTGCTAAACTAGACTACAGAAAAAAAAGTTGGTACCCTTATTCTAGCCTGTCTACTGGAGGATCTGCGCAGGATGATAAACCAAATCTCATGTCCCGAGACCAATGGGTTTTGCAAGGAACTTCTTTGTATTGTTTCCAGCCTGGGGATGGGTTTCGCAAGCAACTTCTTTGTGTCGTTTGCAACTTGGGGAGAAACCAAAACTCATTTCCCCCGAGTTCCTGTACGCAAGATACTCCAGCATGTGTGGTAAATCTCGGTTGGCATTGTTAGTCATGGCCACCCAAAAGGTGGTCAGCTTTGATTTCTGGGTCCCCAAAACGGCAACGGAGTATTGGAAAACCACCATAGAGGAGAGCCCTGTTTTGACACACACTCAAAGAGGCGTTTTTGAACCCCCGGACAACGGCGGCGTACTTTACGTGTCCTTTCAAAACAGCCCCAAAACATGAACCATAAAAAAGACGGACAGGAGTCGCTTGGGTTCGGACAATTTGTGTGGCTTTGGCCAACCCACTCAGGCAGTGAGGGTCCTGGTGGTTGTGTCCACCAAGGGTTCCCCGTTAAATTGTTCACCCTATCAGAACATGAAAATGCATTTGTTTTGTTCGATGTGCTCAACTTCTGCCGCATGGGGGGGGGTCTCAAAATGGTAGTCCCCTTTTGGGATGGCTTAGGGAAGCAACTTGGAAACGACACGTTTTTCCGATTCCCCAATTTGTTGACACATGCATTGGGTATACTGCATGGTGTCCGATGGCTTCTATGCCATCCACGTCTCCTCCTGAGTTCTTGGACTTGGTTGTCCTTTGGGTTTGGACCAAAACCGGGGGAAAACAACTTCAAACTTTTTGGGTTTGGTTTCTTGTCGGTTTGGTTTGGTAAAATTTGGGTATGGACTTTTTAGGGGGTAAACCATTTTAGTGGGTATGGAGTTTTTGGGTTTGGACCATTTTAGTGGTAAACACACGGTTTGGCTTCTTGGGGCCCATCCGCTCGATCGGAAGTGAGCTAAAGCATAGGCCTCGTCCTCGCGCCGCTTCTGCATGGTGCGCTCTGGGCTGCCGCAGGTGCACCGCGGGCCTGGCCCGCGTCTGTGAAATATATGGCCGTGGGTCAAGATGTACCCAAAATGGGTCCCCCTGGTAAATGGAAACGTGGACTAAAACTTGAGGCCCCCTGGTAGCTGAATGTTGGCCCATACCCAAATATGTTATGTAAGTTGGTTTGATGTTTTTTTTTTTTGTTGATTCTGGTTTGGATGTTTTCTGTGAGTCTGTTTGTTTGAGCTATAGCTGGTCGCGGTGGCGGGCCTTAAGGGATAATGGATGCCAATCAGTTTTAGAAGGGGTTCCTCTGTATGCCCTAGGGGTCAAACCACCATGCAAAAAAAAGGGGGGTAAGAGAACCAGCATGACTTTCCTAAGGGGTTCATCATCCAAATTGGGCCAACCGTTCTTTGGGTTGAACCCTAGGGTATGGGTGTGTCTTTTTTTAAAAGGACTCCACAACAAACCCACCCCAAGGGGCACCCTCGGAACAAGATAGGGCCATATTGTCCATGTGGATGGTGTTAAACGTACCATGTCGGGCCAATATATATATATATATATATATTATATATATATAAAGTAAGGTTCCGTCTAGGGTGATGTTTAAAGGGGATGGAAGACCCGTGTCACAGGACAGTCTTGGATGGGACGAATCGCGTGGCCTTAGCTTTGCCCCAGCCCCCAGAACAAACAGTTACCATGGCGTTGATAGGTTAGCCATCTAAGAATGGTGGACCTTTTTGTTGTTGTCGTCTCACACAAGTATCAAGGGTAGATGTGAAAAGGGCCCGATTGAACCCACAGGATGGCATGTATGGCTTGACGGCACACGGGAAAACAATGATGGGGAAGCAACTAATCATCCGGTCCCTGTAGTTTCCCTGCTGACAACCACCCCAAAACGGGCACCCTCAAAAAAGCACACAGATGTGTATATATATATATATATATGGATGTATTTGTATATGTATAGTCTCAGTGTGTGTTTAGTTACCAGTATATAGTAGGTAACCAGGGCAAACCATCCATGGCAACACCTGAAGGCAAAGTTTCCCTGGCTACCGACTATACTGGTAACTGGAAGCACTGGGTACCTATTCAAATTGTCAAACCACCAAACCGCTTGGACAATGTGCAGAATCTAAGAAGGGGCCCAAGGTCACAAACTACTTCCCAGGTTGGGGGCTAAACGGCCTTACTGTTAGTGGACAATTCTCAAATCGTGGATGAAACTCTATGATGTATGGGATAAAGGGATTGTACACCCCATTCGTTTCCCCCAAACAAACATCACAGGAAGCTAAATACTCCTTACTCTCCAAAAGGAAGCCAAGAAGGGATCGTAATATCATGATTGTTTGCAGATCAGCACAGAACACGTCCTGCCACGGAGGTACCCCATTAGTTTCCGCCACCAAAATTCAGTGCAGGAGGCCTGGGGCGAAATTCCCCATGAGTTTCCCAAAGGAAGCCAAGAGAGGATCGTACACCACATGAGATTTTTTCCCCTGGTCTCAATTTTGGCTTTTGGCCCAGGAGCCGCGCTGTGCCTGCTGGCCGCCGCGCCCATGTTCGCGTAAAATTTGGAACGGGGTTCGATTTCGTGGCTGCAGCTTGTGGCTGTTGGGTGGCTGGGTTGGTCAATTTTATGGACCCGAAAGCTGGGGTGGCGTCCCTTTAAAATCAAGCAACCCTTGAAAAGGTTGGTTTGGATTTGGATTTGGATTTGCCCTGTTCCTTGTAGAGGGTGAATGGGACATCTTCTTGACCGCCAAACCACCAATCCAAACCACCATTTGGAGGGAAGCGCCACGTTTTGGGTTTGAACCATTTGAGTGGTAAACCACAAGTTGTTCGACTTTTCTTGGCCAATCCACTCGGGAGACTCGATGCCCCTCCGCCTTTTTAAAAATCAGAAAAAAAAAACAACTCCAGGTACTTTGCCCAGGGAAATAAGGCAATTGGGTTCGTAATTGTGGTTGTAGCCCTAGGAAATGTCCAGTTCCTGCCTTTCTTTTAGTGGGGAATTTACTTCCTCACTTCAATCAGGCAACCCTCTGGTGCTTTGGATTCGTGCGGATCCGAGGGCCCCGAGGCTCAGTTAAATTTTAAAGCCCGGGAAGTTGGCTGGCGCGGAATTCGTTGGGACCGTGGCACACGCCTCGGCTTCTTTGGTGCATTTTGCCAAGGGATGTTAGGACTGGATAACTTTTTGCCAACTAAGAGGGGTTTTCAACATTAATCCACTAAAAGATAAACTTTTAGCTGGGGAGCAGAAAGCAACCTAACTTTTTGCCAACTAAGAGGGGTTTTCCGTATGAATCCACTAAAAGTTTGTCAACCTTTTGCAGACCTTCGCAGATTTCGCCACCGAGTAAATTTGGGGCTTTGGTTTCTGTGCGGCGCTACTGATGAAAACGAAATCGAGAAATCCGTGGCACAGGGAAACCCATCGATTTCTTTCCCGAAAAGGACGCCTAGGGGTTCTGGGTCGACCATTTGAATACTAGATTTCTAGGGGTTGATTCCTTGTCCATTCTTTCCATCCATCGTTCATTTTTTAGGAGGTTGCCCCGGGGTTTTGGGTAGTTAGTTTTGTTTTTTTAGTTTTTGTTTTTTAAATATATATATATATATGAAGGATGCCTGAAAAGAATGGGGAAGGTACCTAGGATGCACGAAATCCTGCACACCTTGAACAAAATGGTTGAAACCATCGCTTGTTGGTAGTTACAGGGGAATCATCATTCCAGGGTTTCTTGGGTGGTGCGAAATGGAGTTCGTCCATCCACAGTGTCATGGCTGGTTTGGCTGTGACCAACTCAAAAGGAGATCGAGCTTCAAATGTGCCTATGCGAGAGACACCTTTTAGGTGGCCGGTCATCCATCCCTTTTGCGGGTGCCACAAATAGGAGGCAGAGTCCTACAAGAAAACAACGAGTTGGGCCGGAACAGGGCTCGTCATTTCGACTGTTTCTAATTTCTGGGGGTTCTGAAAGTCAGAAACTGGGGTTGCGTCCTTTTAACCTACCACGGAACGGGGGTGACTTTGATAGTGGAAGAATGTGGCCAGTAGAACCTTCTGATCGAAAGGGTTTGGATCAGCAGATTTCTTAGAGAGCCATTCTGGTAGGGTCCTACTGATTTGCCCTACTGCTCTTCCCTCACTGGAGCCTGGGCCTTGTGTGCGTGTCACGGGTTCCTTGTTTGCGGTTCCTTTGGGATCAATCCCCATTATGGCAATGAAATGAAGGTGTCTAAAGAACAGCGCCCTCTTTCTAAACGATAGTTCGGAATGTGAGACAAATCCTACATCGACATGTTTTTCAGGATGGGTTGCCCCCATGAGGTGCATTGGGAAAATGACCTGCGGTGCTTTTTGGGGTGAGTGCCCCGTAAATATTCACCCATGTACCTCTAGATTTTTGGTTTTCAAAGGAGGAGCCTTGCTGCTTTTGCCAAGTAATCTCTCTGGGAGGTCCTAGAGTCTCCGAATCTGACCCGAATCAAAAATGGTTGGTCATTACTCCCGAAATCATGGGGTCATGGACCCATTTTTATTTCGGGTCAGAAGGAGACTCCAGGCAGATTCCACTCTCTAAATCCATGTTGGTTTGGGCTTTCCTTCGAAGGCGTCGACCTGCATTCCCAGCTCCTTTTCTCAACCCTTTTGGAAGACTTGGGTCCACAGTGGCCAACTGGGGGAGCTTCCATGTTAATCTGACAAAGTGTAAGCGACCCCATGGTTTTCTTCGAGGCATGGAGACTCGAAAAACCCTTTTCTACCGTAAGGAAGGCGGCTGGCCGCCTTCCTTCTCGCGGCTTCCTTCCTCTTCGCGGCTTCCGCATGTTTTTGTCTTGCTGGTGCGAACTCGGGGAATGAGAACTGGAATGACCCCTATTTTTAAACCATGCAACTGGTGGTTTCCTTTCAGGGGACCAAGGCCTGGGTTCCTTCCCACATTCCCTACTGAAGTCATAAGCCCCATATATACAAACCCTTATCAACCCTTGTGGTTCCTTCAAAGGAAACCAAGGCCCAGGTCCGTTCCCTATCGCGGCGATCGCACGCGGTTTTTGGTTCTTCTCCGCAGCCTCGCCATCTCAAAACCCTCGCCTTCAGAGCCTGAGGCGGGGCCCAAGGAAACTCGCCCCGCTCGGCCACAAAGTCTATACCTCGAGTCTCCTTCTGACCCTTTGAAAAGAGGTCCATGACCCGAATCATTATTTAGGGTAATGAAAAAAAAAACATTTTTAAGGGGTCATGGAGACTCCAGGTAGTCCAAGTTGAAACGATTGTTTGTTGGTATTAGGTCGGTCCAAGCCTCAGGATGAAGACTGGGCAGACCACTTCTGCGGAGAGCTTGGATGTCCACCCAACGTGAGGTAACTAGGTTGTAACCATGGTCATAACACGGTGGTTGTTGGGAAGCATGTTACATGTTTGCTTATTGTGATTTGGTTAAAATCCACCCACTGAACTGCTAAAATTTGAGCATTTTTGCTCCCCAAACCCAACGTCAACCAAGCAGACTGATCTTGGGAAGACCATGGGACCATGTCAAGCACAAATAGACTCACATCTCCTGGCGCGGCAAAGCCTTGCGGCTTGTGTGGTTTGCTTGCGTGAAGTCGGGGTTTCCGCCAAACAGAATATGTGCCCACCCAGTTCATTCCCCCGTAGTGCCACTATGCATAGCCCTGACACCCGCTCTGTTCAAATCAAAGTCTGTTCCTGAGTTGGACTTTCTACTTGGGTTTGTACCATGTCACTGGCATAAAAAAAGGAAGAACTGCTACAGGTTCTTGTTTTGTTTTGTGTTTGTGTGGCAAAAGATAAAACATGTTTCTAAATCAGAACAAAATATGTGTGTGTGTGTGCTTTTTCCTGTGTGTGGCCAGGCACTCGATGGGGGGTTTGAGCTTCGATCCCCCAGCGTTTCGGGCTCTCGGCACTCAATCGAAAGCGGTTTGGAGGTGGCTTTCGTGGTGCCCCCTGTAGAAGCTTAAAAGAGTACGAACAGATTTTTGTTTTAAAGGACCAGGGGGACCAACAGGTGAAATCCACAAAAGGCGCATCCACAATTGTTTCTGGATTCACTCGCCTCGCGAGGTCTTCGACCGAATGGCACTGATCTCGGAGGTGCGCTGGGAGCCGTGCCGAACATTTTTTCCACGTGGCTCACTCATCCACTTTCTAGGTCCCCCAGCTAGGTGCCCTTCTCACCATCTTTGTTGGGGGGAGGGTTCCCCTAGTAAAATAGACTACACCAAGAAAAGTTGGTACGCTTAGTCGAACCTGTTGACTGGAGGACCTGGCTTTGCTTGCCCAAAGAAAGACTCACTGCTGGACGTTCCTGGACCGTAAACACGTTTTGGTACGGCCATTTGAGTGATAAACAAAGAAAGATTTGGGCCGATCCACTGGTTCGGAAGTGAGAAGAGTTGAGGGATGATTTCGGGCAGTACCCTTACCAAACATAGTTTGTGTTCGGGCCCCTTTTTTGACATTCCGAAATAAGATAGTTGGTGTTTCTGACCCCCCGTTTAAATCAAGTCTCATTGATCAAAGTGCCCTTACAAGCTAACTGGAGGGGTCAAATTCGGGTTCCAAACTTTGATGTGGGCCACTCAGGTGAAACGATCCCCAAGGAGCCCAACACCCTAAATATGAGGGCCTTTGACCCCCAAAATACCTCAAATAATGAGGTCTTGGGCTCCTAGGGATCCCAGCTTAATCACAAACAGTGACTTGTTTGTTGGTCCTCCGATTTTAGTGGACACCCTTTCCACATCGGTCGCTCCAGGATTGGATCGGTGGGAATCGTTCGTTCCCCATACCTAAGGTGAATGCACGAAGTATGGGTATGGGTCAAAATTAAACCACCAGGGGACCGCGGGTTTTAGTCCTTGTTTCCATTTACCAGGGTTCCTATTTTTTGACCCACAGCCGTATTGCAAGTAGAGCAGCTCGCAAACCCCATGTCTTTTTACCGCAAGTGATCAGCGTGTAATTGGATGGGGTTGGTTCAATCAGGAGAGAATCCACCCATCCCTCTTGATCCGGGTTGCGGGAATACGTTGATTCTTGCTGATCAAGCAACCTCCTTCGGAAGGCTTCTGCTGGTTTTCTTTTGGCTCCAAAATTTACCGCTGGAAGCCATCAATTGTCCAAAAGGAGGGAACCCCTCAAAAATGGTTGGACATGGATTCCCATGCAGGATGCCCACCAAAGGGGTGCGTGCTTGTGACGCACCCAAATGAGGTCAATGGTTCCTACGGTGCAAAGGTAATTCCCGTGGTGCCGCACGGTGACTCCATTTCCCAGAAGCCAACATGAAACCATCGACTGGAGCAACGTCAAACTCTTTTTTTGGAGTTCACGCCATAGTTTTGGGGCAACACATGTTTCAGGGAATTGTGCGGGTCCAGGGACATGTTTTTTTTTTGGCAAGGTGTCCTGTGCACCAAACCATTTTGGCCCCTTGAGTCCACTTGCGTCTCTCATGCGCGGCAAAAGGAACCTCTCGCTGGTTCATAGACTCTCCATGACCCCTAGAAAAAGGGCCCATTTGACCCCTGAAATCTTTGGGCAATGACCAACCATTTTTTTAAGGGTCAGAAGGAGAGTCTAGGTCCTTGAATCCACTTGCGTCTCCTGAAGGGCGGCAAAGGGTCGGTTAACTCGAAACCATCCTTGGTGGCTCCCAGCCATCCGGTTCCTCAGCTTTTTGGCCTTTAGCGAGGAGTGGCAGTTTCCGAACTCAACCCGCGACAAGTTGCAAACTTTCAGCGGGGGATCGGAAAAAAAAAGGCCCGCCCTTTTAGCGGGGCATTCGGACAACGGGCAGCCTCCGCCGAGAACGGGCCGAGGCGGATCAGATCTTCAACGCGCTGGACAAGGATCACGATGGCGTGCTCACGCGGGAGGAGTTTGAGCAGGCGGGGCCAATGCTTCGAGCACCGGGGGCCTCAAAGGAGCCGTTGTTGTTTTTTTAGGGTGATCCCTGCTGGGATAGGGGTAGTCAGCACCTAAGTCCCCAACAAAGTGTGGGCTGAATACTTACTGTGAGTTTCCCTTTATCACTCCATGAAATGTTTAATGGTACTCTCCTGTCCACTAACATGGCACCCCCCCAGAGGGGTAGATTTAGGATACATGTTACATTTTACCAGCGACTCAAAGTGAAGCAAACAATAAAATATACATTCTATAACTGAGCCTAACTCCAGTCATGGACCGTTTGGGAAGATCCAATTGAACCCCCAAAAAGTGGTCCCGGAGCGTCCCCCAAAAAATGTTATTCACTCACTAGAACTGGTTGCCTAACTCTAATCATGGGGGTTCCACGGACCCATGAAAGGAATGGCGCACCGATCGGCTCCGAGCGTTGCTTTGGCTTTCAATGGAAGACCCGACCCCTCCAAAACGACACCCCGGGAATCGGTGTTTGGGACCCGGTCTCCAAACCTGGCTGTTGGAGGGCCCTAAATACATTGGGAGGTTGTGGGTAGAGTGATCCCTGGGGTTTCAATCGATTCCTGTGAAGAGAAATGGCAAGGAAGGACCCAATTTTTGGGAAGAATGCGCAGATATGTGCAGAGAAGGAGCTGTTCAACTGGAACTCCCTGGGCGGTGTGCCCCTCTTCGGTTTCCCTTCAACGCCAAGCACCAAACGGTTCCTTTTGTCTCGTTGCCACTTAGCTTTGGATCTGTTGATTGTGTGGCCTGTTTCTATTGTCCAACATTTGGTTGAGGTGGAAAACCTGTCAAAGTCAGGGCTTCCTTTCTTGCCCCTAGAAATCAATTCACTGGAGGTTGGGGCATGCTCGCTTTTCGAACATGATTTGAGTGCGGAGTCAGCTCTCGGCTCGCTTCTCCTATGTCGGCTCCAAGAGCCAAGGCCATTGCCGGATGAATGTACAACCGTGCTTTCACTTTGGTGGATGTTGCTTGGATGTTAGCACTTTGACTTTTTGCCAACTCATGAGCCACTAAAAGTTAGTCACTTTTAGCAGGGGAGCAGAAAGCAAGCGAGTGAGAAACACTGGCAGGACCAGGATAATGCTTTCTTCTCCTGCCATTCATTGCTGGTGCTTAGCCAGCAATGAGGCACCCCTATACACCATCCAACTGGTGGTTTCCTTTATTCGGGGACCAAAGCCTGGTTCATTCCACATTCCCTACCTATCGCGCCAGCAAGATTCGGTGCTTGAGAAAGAGAACACTACCTGGTACTTGCAGTTCGCCACATGTCACTGTCCAGCCGCTGAGGCCCCTATAGTGGTATGTCTCTGCTTTTTTTTTGTGGTTCTTCGTTGGAGACTTCATCAAGATGTTTTCTTCAAACTGGACTTCCCCCCTTAATCCAAGAAGCTAAAGGATTGCTGAAGGTGGGGAGATGGCAGCATTGGTTCTGCTGGGCTTCGGTTTCCCCTCGAGAACCGTGCAGCTCGGGGGCTTCTCAAGGAACCCAACCCTTAGGGATCAGGCAGCAGGCAGCAGGCAGGCAGCAGTGGCAGCACACCATTCTGAGGAACCTCCTTCAAAATCCTTGGGTTCCGTTTGAAACAACCCAACCATTTCTTGGGGATTTTGTTTTTTGAGGAGCAGGCGGAAAATTGGCACAGTCCCGAAACTCTTTTGGTGCCTGACGCCTTTGGACCTTTGGAGAGAACTCGACGCGCCAAAAAGGGCACACTAAGTTCACCCCTCTCCAAAGCAACAAGATGCAGGACACATAAGAAGGCCCAGAAACTCAGTTGTTCAGTGGCACCCTTTTCTATTTTCGTTGTTTTTTCCCCTTTCGTTTTTATGGTGGCTGCCCCACAAAAAATGGAAACTTCCCAAAAAAGTGTTCCAACTTTCATTTGCAGGGTCACTGAACAACTGAGGAAAGCTTCCATAAAAGCTTCCGTTAAGGGCTCCTTAAAAGATACATGTTGCAACCATTTGAAGCATGGCTTTTAACCCACCTTGGAATAAAGGGAAACCACCATTTACAAGTTGCAATGCTCAGGTGTTTCTATTCTTACCTCTTAAAAACACAACTTTTCAACTTTTTGGGTAACATGGGCTATATGTCTGTAAAAGATTAACTTCCCCAGGGCTTGGAGTTTTAAGGGGTTTCTATTGTAAGGATCCCTAAACGTCAGCGAAAGGGATTTTCCGCGGAAAGTCGCGGATAGGCGATGAGGATGAAGTTCATGAAGCAGTCTCAAGCCCACCAGGCGCGACACCTCATCTCCAGCCAAACGGAAAAAAATCGGGTGGCTCTCTTTTTTTGTTTGTTATATTACATGTATATATATATATATTGTTGTTTAATGTTTGTTTTATTCAAGTGGTTTGCTTTATGTTGTTGTCTTGTTTTTGTCTTGTTTGTTTGTTTGTTTGTTTTTGGGGAGGGAGCACCCTATTCTTGGGTTGGTTTAAAGGGAAACCGAAAGGAACACCGAAATCTACTTCTGGGGGTTGCCATAAAACCAAGACACACCCATATCATCCGTCCAAGAATCCGGGAAGTGCACCTGGGCGGGTTGTTGGAGACTAGACTAGCATCTTGAAAAGCCCACAACCGTCCACTTCCATGATGCTGGGAGAAGTCTAGGGGCTGATTCCCCGTTCCTTTCCACCATCGTGCTTTTCAATATCCGATCGCAAATCGTTTTCCCTGGGTGTCAGAAGGATCCCTGGAAAGAATGGGGAAGGTACCCTTCGAAGAAAGGTACGTGACAGCTTGCTTCATGTTGATCCGGGCTCAATTTTCCATCTGCTGAAGGGGGGTTGTCCCAAAGCATAAGGATTCCTCGATGGGACACACATATCAATCAACGGGACCAAAAATCAAGGGTAACAATGTGAACCATTCGACAAGGTTCTTGGGGCGGATGATTCCAGCCACAAAATGTTTTCCCTGACTGTGCTCGAGACGACCTCTATTGACAAGGGAGACGAGCAGCGCATCCTGGGACGCGTAGGAAGAACACGCAGGGGCCCTTGCTGTCACCCTGCCGCCCAACCACCATTGTTTCAGGTGTCTCTCATCTGTTTGAATGACTCAGCATATAGTCAGCTTCCCCCCAAATTGGTGGGTTTGGTTTGGTGGTTTGGAGGTTAGGGGGTGGTTTCCGGTTTCCCATTTACTCTACAAGCCAGGGCTTCAATTCCAATTCCAATCCACCAATCCAAACCACCAATGAATGAGCTGATACAAGAGCCGTTTTGCTGGGGTAGAAGTCGTCTTGGAGCCCTCCAAACGATCCGGCTGTGCCCCGGTGCGGCTGCAAGGACACATAGGGTGGTGTTTTCCTGCCCCCCATACTGCTGCAATGTTGTGTTTAAGGGCACTCCAAAAGGAGACTGGGGCATTGTGGAAAGTTGAATGTTAGGCCTATTTATTTTTACCAACAGAACCCCTTCAAAGTGACGAAATAGGCATAGGGATGGGAATCAACCACCATGGAAGGTTTGTATTCCACATTGGAGTCGTTCGGATCTTTGCAAGGCTGCCAACTTTTGTTCCTTTGGGCGACTTAGGTCAAGCCCCAAAGCTCCACAAAGTTCAGCAGCAACCATTTCCTTTTGGTAGTTGGATTACCTGGACCTCCAACATTTCCACAAGAAAATGGGTTGTTGCAACCCATGGGGTGATTTTTTGCTTTTCATGGGGGTCAAATGGGCCCTTTTTCTAGGGGTCACGGAGACTCTAGGCAGTCCTTTAGGTTGGATAGAACCCGATGCGACGTTCGCAGGCGGTAAACTAGACTCCCGCATTTCAAGAGGAATTTTCGCTGTTTCCATCGTCTTCGATTTGTTGGACGGATATGGGTGTGTCTGACGTTTTTCTGGCAACCCCCCGGTGGATTTCGGGTGTTCCACGCGAGTCTTGGGTCTGACACCCGAGAAAGCGCCAGGTGCGCAGCGTCATGGGCGACTATGCCTCGGAGCCTGTCGCGCACGGGCCTCGGAGCGCGGCATTTTTGGCTCTTTCTTCGGTCTTTGTGCCGGATGCTTTTGTGTTGTTTCGTTGTTTTTTTCATGTGTTCCGGCTTCTTTGGTTTTTGTGCCGGATGTTTTTTTTTTTTGTTTTAGTTGTGTTTTGTTTGTGTTGGTGTTTGCTTTGTTTTCTTTTGCCGTTTTTTGTTTTGTTTTTCCTTTTGGTCCAACATGTCGGCTGCCCTCTAATTGGTGGTTTGAATTGGTGGTTTGGGATTTGAAGCCCGGGTTCTTGTAGAGGGTACGTGGGAACCCCCCTCCTGAACCACCAAACCACCACCAATCCAAACCACCAATCAGAGGGAAGCTGGTTTGCGTTTGGTCCAACATGTCAGCTTCCCTCTAGTTGGTGATTTGGGTTGGTGGTTTGGAGATTTGCAAACCAAACCACCAAACCAAACTATCCATTGGAGGTAAGCTGACATGTGCGGTCCATGGTCCACAGAAAATCAACTTCATAAATGAAGGTGCCCCTTTTTTTCCATGCCCACCAGGGGTCTTCTAGGGGTTCATTCCCCATTCTTTTCAACCAGCGTTCTTTTCAATAACCCGCCGTTTTCCCTGGGATTCCGGAGGTTTTCTAGAAAGAAGGATCCCTGGAAAGCATGGGGAAGGTATCCCTACAACTAAGGGCCCTTCTCGGCAAGATTTGGTCGGCTAAATAGTTAGTAACACTGTGTATGAAACCCCAGGTTGTAAGTCCCCTACAAACCACAGTTGCTGACCATGTAGCCAAGTCCCCGGACCATCTAAATAGTCTATCATCCATTAAGGAAACACTGTGGCAGTCACTCAATTTGCCATGGACTTCTGGGTTAGCAAGTAATTTTGACCGTGACTCGTCTTCAAATCTCCATTTATGGTTCTGTGTCAAAAGGGAACGCCGCAAACCGCTCGTGTTTCCTTTGAACGGGGGTAGCCTCAAAGAAGCAACAGGGCCTGGTTGAGGTTTTTGTTTGGCATGTGCTTCCTTTATGGCTACCTAGACTCTCCATGACCCTTTAAAAGTGGGGTCTTGACCCCTTTCTGTTGGGTAATGACCCCAAATTTTACGGGTCATGACAAGTCTGGTATTTGGTAACGGATCTTTGGACGTAACATTTTGGGAAATGATGGATTTTCCGATTTGGACCCACAAGTTTTTCACTTCTTGCAGAGGGGATCGAGTGGCTTCAATTCGGAGAATGATGGATTAGGTATGATAAGAAGCTTGTGGGTTTGGAAAGCACACGATGGTCCACTTTGGAGGCGGGGTCAATTAAGCAATCCTTTAGTGTATCCCTGTGTTCTGGTGATTTTGGGGGTGTGGAAGACCATTCCATCAGGAGAAGCAGCGGAAGTAACGCAGAAACTGTTTCCGAGCCATTTTCCTTGGTGGAACCTCCAGTGGCGATCGTTTCAATGGACACCACCAGTAAATTGACCAACTTAAGGCAAAATCCAGTGACCGCTGCAACGCAGTATCCAAACTGATACACCCTTCAGCGAAGTATGTTTTGAGGTTCCGGGAGTTGGGGATCAACCGAACTCGCAGGTTTTGCTCCCTCGCAGTGCTCCTTTGGGAGGGTAAACTCCTTGTAGCAACACATCAAGGACCCTGAAGACATCTTGGTTGGCATGGTTTGCGAGTTCTTTGTCGCTTGTTCAAAGACAGCAGCTTTGGCACAGCGGATGGGTAAGACACGGCTGAATCTACCTAGACTCTCCTTCTGCCCCTTAAAAACAGGTTGGTCATTACCCAAAAGAAAGATTCGGGCCAAGACCAACCAGTTTTACAGGGCCATGGAGAGTCTAGGTAGTCGATGTAACGATCGGAACACAGCCCTTCCCACCATCGGAAGAAGAAATCCCTTTGGCCCCCCGGCGGAACAAGATTCCTTGAAGGGATGGAGATCCCCGCTTTTTTGTTTTCTTCCTTTTTTTCCCCCCCTTGTTGGATTTAAAAGTTGGAAATCTCCCCTGTTTTTGTTGCCCTTGTTGGATTTAAAGTTGGAAATCTCCCCTGTTTTTGTTGCCCTTGTTGGTTTTAAAGTTGGAAATCTCCCCTGTTGTTGTTGCCCTTGTTGGTTTTAAAGTTGGAAATCTCCCCTGTTTTTGTTGCCCTTGTTGGCTTTAACGTTGGAAATCTCTCTGTTTTTGTTGCCCTTGTTGGTTTTAAAGTTGGAAATCTCCCCTGTTTTTGTTGCCCTTGTTGGCTTTAACGTTGGACATCTCCCCTGTTTTTGTTGCCCTTGTTGGTTTTAAAGTTGGAAATCTCCTTGTTTTTGTTGCCCTTGTTGGCTTTAAAGTTGGAAATCTCCCCTGTTTTTGTTGCCCTTGTTGGCTTTAACGTTGGAAATCTCTTTGTTTTTGTTGCCCTTGTTGGTTTTAAAGTTGGACATCTTCCCTGTTTTTGTTGCCCTTGTTGGTTTTAAAGTTGGAAATCTCCCCTGTTTTTGTTGCCCTTGTTGGTTTTAAAGTTGGAATTCTCCCCTGTTTTTGTAACCCTTGTTGGTTTTAAAGTTGGAAATCTCCCCTGTTTTTGTTGCCCTTGTTGGCTTTAAAGTTGGAAATATCCTCTGTTTTTGTTGCCCTTGTTGGTTTTAAAGTTGGAAATCTCCCCTGTTTTTGTTGCCCTTGTTGGCTTTAACGTTGGACATCTCCCCTGTTTTTGTTGCCCTTGTTGGTTTTAAAGTTGGAAATCTCCCCTGTTTTTGTTGCCCTTGTTGGTTTTAAAGTTGGAAATCTCTCTGTTTTTGTTGCCCTTGTTGGTTTTAAAGTTGGAAATCTCCCCTGTTTGTGTTGCCCTTGTTGGCTTTAACGTTGGATTTTTTTCTGTTTTTGTTGCCCTTGTTGGTTTTAAAGTTGGAAATCTCCCCTGTTTTTGTTGCCCTTGTTGGTTTTAAAGTTGGAAATCTCCCCTGTTTTTGTTGCCCTTGTTGGTTTTAAAGTTGGAATTCTCCCCTGTTTTTGTTGCCCTTGTTGGCTTTAAAGTTGGAAATCTGTCTGTTTTTGTTGCCCTTGTTGGTTGTAAAGTTGGAAATCTCCTGTTTTTGTTGCCCTTGTTGGTTTTAAAGTTGGAAACCTCCCTGTTTTTGTTGCCCTTGTTGGCTTTAACGTTGGATTTTTTTCTGTTTTTGTTGCCCTTGTTGGTTTTAAAGTTGGAAATCTCCCCTGTTTTTGTTGCCCTTGTTGGTTTTAAAGTTGGAAATCTCCCCTGTTTTTGTTGCCCTTGTTGGTTTTAAAGTTGGAATTCTCCCCTGTTTTTGTTGCCCTTGTTGGCTTTAAAGTTGGAAATCTGTCTGTTTTTGTTGCCCTTGTTGGTTGTAAAGTTGGAAATCTCCTGTTTTTGTTGCCCTTGTTGGCTTTAACGCTGGACATCTCCCCTGTTTTTGTTGCCCTTGTTGGTTTTAAAGTTGGAAATCTCCCCTGTTTTTGTTGCCCTTGTTGGCTTTAACGTTGGAAATCTCCCCTGTTTTTGTTGCCCTTGTTGGTTTTAAAGTTGGAAATCTCCCCTGTTTTTGTTGCCCTTGTTGGTTTTAAAGTTGGAAATCTCTCTGTTTTTGTTGCCCTTGTTGGCTTTAAAGTTGGAAATCTCCCCTGTTTTTGTTGCCCTTGTTGGCTTTAACGTTGGAAATCTCTTTGTTTTTGTTGCCCTTGTTGGCTTTAACGTTGGAAATCTCCCCTGCCCTTGTTGGCTTTAAAGTTGGAACATCAATGTCACTTCTTGGTTAGTAATACTGTGGATGGATGGTTGCGAAATCCATTTCGCACATTGAAACCTGCCAAGCCATTGAATTGTGTTGGCGCTTACAGGGGAATCACCATTTCAGGGTTTCTGAACGGGGCAGGATTTCGTCCATCCACTCCCATCCAGGATAGGGCCCAGATGTGAATCCCCACCTACATGATGTCCACCAAAGATTCCAGGACTCAAATGTCATGCCCATGTAGAGTATCCAAATCGTTGTAGAGCAAGGTATGAACC